AAATTATAAAGACATTTATAATTATATTAATGAATTCCAAGTTAACACAATGTTTCACCAGTACATTGTCAATTGCTTTGTTCCTCAGATTCAAAAAAGCTGTGTCAGGATGGTAGTTTCTAATTTTCTTTGGGTTCTATAAAAATAAGGTTTTGTTGTTGTTTAATGTATTTAATGTATCACATTTAAGGTCCAGTTTAACTGGAAATTGTCAACTGAAATGGAATAAGTAGGGGCCGATTTTTATATTTACTCATCTCTAAGCTTTCGTTTGCAGTAAACTAACAGTTGGAGTAACAAGGCATATAATATTTGACCCAAGCCATCAAACTGATGTCAACAAAGAATATAATTACTTTTCCAGAGCAGAAGCAAATGGTCAGATTTTGATTAAAACTAAAAACTGTTTTCAGTTAGCTAAAAATAAAAATTATTTAGATTATAAATATGATAGATAATTTAATTTGTACACAAAATAAAATAATAATAATAATTAAATAATAAAAACTGAGTCCAGCAATATACTGTATGCTTAATCACTTAAGAAAACAAGCCATTTGGTTAAGTGTGCTTTTTTGAAAAATGGGTCATACATCTGATATTTGCAAATTTAGGGAATATGTCTCTAAAGTAACAACATTCTTTTACACATTTAAAACATCAGTAGCATTTTAATAAAAGCCTACAATCATACAACCAGCTGAAACATGTATAGACCTAGTTTTCATTTAGGCTCCCTAAAAATCCCACTTTTACATTTTTAATGTCATTGTTTGAGAAGCGAGGATTGATGTAGCCTAACTGTCTATGACGCAGCAAAACACATATGCAGCTATGAAAAAAGGTCTCCTGCCTTTGCTTTGAGTGCTGTTGTGTGCGTCTATAATGAACCGTCAGTACACAAGAGAGTCGTTTTGGCGTTTGTACGCTATTAGCAAGACATTCAGAAAGAACGAGGTTATGCTCAGCAAGGGCGTTCGGCGCATTCGCGTGCTGAAACACGTTTAAGTAAGACGATCGCTAGTTGTGAATCTCTGTATATGATTACGTCATCATGCTGTTATAATAGGAATTACTATGTCAAGTGCCTTAGAAGTTCTTTTTAGGTTGTTTTATGCCTTGCCAGTTTTTGAGTACTTTCGGTTTGCATTGCATAACGTGTTCGGCTAGTGGATAATATGTTGTGTAGCCATGCATATGCCCTGACTTTATACACTGTGATTATAGTGGATGTGGTTTTTGAGGTCCAATCATGTTATGCAGATTGTTTCTTTGTTTCAGTTTCATTGTAGAACCACACTACTCATATACCGTATGAGTATTTTTACAACCACCTCAGCGTTCGATAATAGACTACTCAAATTGATTAAAATGTACTGCCTGATTCACTGTGTTCTGATCGATTTTAATACACTATAACAATCTAAAATGTTTGAAAATGTTGTTTAAAAATTTGTTATTTCTTTCTTTTCTAATTCTTTTGATAGGCCTATATGAATATTAAAATTCAATGTACTTGTACTTTTTTACAACTTTATACCACAAAATAACATAATTTGAACAGTGATTTTTTCACAATTTATCATCGCATAGCAGTCAAAAACGGGAAAATGTAGTTCAGTACAAAAACAAGGCATTCTGGACCTTTCGCTGTGGGCATGATCAACAGTTAACACGGCCCAAGTAAAAAAAAAACCTTGGACACCCCGACAACCACATTAGAAAACTTTCACTTCCGTTTACAATGACGCGAATTAAAGTATATAAACAATGTAAACATCTTACCATAAGACGCAAGTGGAAATGTAAGTGAAAAAATTAGGAGTACTGACTCTGTACATTTGTACTGCATGTCTTTAGTCTCAGCCTTAACTCGGTCAGAAGAAACTGGAAAAGGACTTAACTGACCGGGGTTTCATGTGTCGTTTCCTGCCCACTCACTACTGATTGGTTGAGAGGTTTGTTTTTTATGGATAAATAGTTGTGCGTCCTGGTTTCTTTTCCTGACCAGCTTTCCTTTATCCGCCTTGCAGCCAGAGCTCACTTAATATTGGATGGGAAGTTTATTTTTGTACTCACGACCTGCCTGGAAACCCCACATTAAAAAAACTATGGTAGTTCAAAGTAAATATTTTAGTGTTTTGAACTATACTACAACAGTACTTGAAATAATCTGTGGTAATATAATTATACTACATCTGCTAATATGTAAATTACATACTGTACAACGGTTTCAAATAGCATAATGTATGCACAGTATTATACGCTGTAGTATGGTTTTAAAACACTACTATGTATTACAAAAAATTTCTGAAAAAAAATTCTCGTGGGACTTTAGCTGTGCATCTCCCTGAAAACAATTACACAAATAATTGAATAAATGGTTGCCCAGTGATGGGTTGCTGCTGGAAGGGCATCCGCTGCGTAAAACATATGCTGGATAAGTTGGTGGTTCATTCCGCTGTGGCGACCCTTGATGAGTAAGGGACTAAGCCGAAAAGAAAATGAATTAATTAATTGAATGCATTTTCATCAGAATCAGCCCTTTATTTAATTACATTTAAAATTGCATTGCAGACACAACTTTAAAGTATCAACACGGAAAAATATTTACAAAAAATTTTAAACATTCAGGGTGAAATGGTGGTGCAGTGTACTGCTGTCACCCCACAGCAAGAAGGTCGCTGGTTCGAGCCTCGGCTGGGTCAGTTGGCATTTCTGTGTGGAGTTTGCATGTTCTCCCCGTGTTCGCGTGGGTTTCTTCTGTGTGCTCCGGTTTCCCCAACAGTCCAAAGACATGTGGTATAGGTGAACTGGGTAAGCTCAAATTTTCCTTGGTGTATGTGTGTGTATGAGTGTATGTGTGTGTTCCCCAGAGATGGGTTGCAGCTGGAAGGGCATCCACTGCATAAAATAATGCAGGATAAGTTAGTGGTTCATTCTGCTGTGGCAACCTCGTACTAATTAAGGGACTAAGCACAAAAAAAAATTAATGAATGAATGTATACTATCGATGTTCTAATTGTACTATGTAAAAGACAGGAAGTACTGAATTGTTTCTTTTAAAAATGACAATACATTTGATGTACACTTTACTAGGCACACTTACTAGTACCGGGTTGGACCCCCTTTTGCTTTCAGAATTGCCTTAATCCTTCGTGGCACAGATTCAACAAGGTACTGAAAATATTCCTTAGAGATTTTGGTCCATATTGACATGATAGCATCACAAAGTTGCTGCAGAACTGTCAGCTGCACTCCATGATGGGAATCTCCCATTCCACCACATCCCAAAAGCTGCTTTATTGGATTGAGATCTGATGACTGTGGAGGCCTTTTGAGTACAGTAAACTCATTGTCATGTTCAATAACCAGTCTGAGATGATTCACGCTTTATATTAAATTATGACCCTACCAACCAAATATTGCAGCAGAAATTGAGACTCATCAGCAGGCAATGTTTTTCCAATCTTCTATTGGCAAATTTTGGCTGAGCCTCTGCAAATTGTAACCTCAGTTTCCTGTTCTTGGCTGACTGGAATGACACCTGGTGTGGTCTTCTGCTGCTGTAGCCTATCCGCCTCAAAGTTGGACGTGTTGTGCATTCAGAGATGCTCTTCTGCATACCTCTGTTATAGCAAGTGGTTATTTGAGTTACTGTTGCCTTTCTGTTCAGCTCGAACCAGTCTGGCCATTGTCCTCAGACCTCTGGCATCAACAAGGCATTTGCGCCCACAGAACTGCCGCTCACTGGATATTTTCTCTTTTTCGGACCATTCTCTGTAAACCCTAGAGATGGTTGTGCTTGAAAACCTCAGTAAATCAGCATTTTCTTAAATACTTAGACCAGCCCGTTTGACACCAACAACCATGCCACATTCAAAGTCACTTAAATCCCCTTTCTTCCCCATTCTGATCCTCGGTTTGAACTGCATCAGATTGTCTTGACCATGTCTACGTGCCTAAATGCAATTAGTTGCTAAAAAGTGGCCGGTGAGTGTATATTTTGTTGATTTTTCTTGTACACATTTTTGTAGTTAGACAAACACAGTGTGTATCAAACACACTCTATACCCTTGAGATATTTTAAGCCAGTGTGTTCAAAATGTGATTTTCAAATTAGCCACAGGTGTTTGCTATCAAATTATTTTATTTATATATATATATATATATATATATATATATATATATATATATTGTCTTTGCAGCACAAACAGAAATTGCACAGTTCAATTTTAAACAGCAAAATTATACAATTTAATAGTTTGTGTTTTACACACTCTGGACTGAGATGTGACACATTATGATTACCACCAGCATAAGATGTAACAATAAAATAAGAACTGTGACCAAAAATGGATTTAAAAAGCTTTTTATTTAAGATTGTGTATCTGTGTAACAAAGCTATTTTTGTCTATATTCTGAATACCAGCAGATCTACCTCACAGATAACATACATGTTCAAAACTTTTCTTGCAATGACTGAATGAGCCGTTTTTAATGAATCTGAATGAATAATTATGTGACTAAGATTTTTCTGTTTAAATTTAATAAACCCTGTATTTTATTTTAAATTACTTTATATTTCGATACTTAGCATTTGGAAAATATTAGATTATTAAAAATATATATAGATTTTATGTGAAATATGACATATGTAAGATAGAATTTTCCTTAGAATATTGAACTCTGCTATGATATGCTATGATATGCTATGATATACTATAAAATAGTATAACAAATAGCATCTTATATAATGAGATAAAGCATGTCCATTTAAATATGTAATTTACCAAAGATGTAAAGTGTTGGAAAAGTTTGAATATGCACCTAAATGTGCTCGAAAAGTCCTTAAATTTGACTTTGGACTTTGTGTAAGAACCCTGTGTTTGTCGAAATAACCCATTAGAAGTTACTGTACAGGTTATAATCAGCTTATTATCCCTCAAAATACTTAAAAAGTTTCATAACCAATGAGATGATATTGAATTAAATATATGAATTTGGATCACCGAAGCATATTTATTACACAAAATACTGAAAAAAGCTGACTCAATAGTAAATCTATAATTCAAAGCCTGATTACTGTCCATCTGATGATGCTCTGTAAATGTTTTATGTTATTCTCTAAAGGCTCTTATATAGAGAAATACAGTGATACAATTTGGGCAACACCCATTATGTTTAAGCAGACTGAGCCACCAGCCAGTCTGTGATGTCCTCCTGGTTTTCAGCCACCCATTTTATATTGGCTTTTGTCTTCTCGATGGCCTGTTCCAGAGCTGCTGTCGCTGATCCAAAGCCGATCTCAGAATTATCACTTTTAAACTTCAGCAACTTTTCACATGATTAGAAATATGAATAAAAAATATTCATGTCAAAATTTTACATGGTTTCATTAAATTCATGAGTCGTGGTGATAAGACAATATTAAATTATTTAGAAAACTCTCACCTGCTCAAGTTCAGCTTCAGTTGAAAAGGTTTTGGTTATGCCACTTATAAGGCTGGCAAAATTAAATGATCCAACGCCATACCTAATGACACAATTTAAATATGTCAATTATGTGCCTGTATTAAAAAGTACACTTCAAATCACCAAAAAAATTTTATATGAATATTAATGTACAAAAAGCTCACTCTGTGAACATATATTCCCATTTATTCCTGACAAATTCCCATGCCAGCTTCTGACCATCAGGATTACTAGCAATATACACAATCACAGATGTGGCGTCCTGTTTACGGATCATTGATGGGTCCAGCGTGTAGCCAAGGTACCTATATTTATGATAGTAAAAAAATAAATAAGATAAAGTAAAAAAAAATAAGATAAAAAGTTATATGAATAACTAATTTCAAACCTTTTTAAAAGAGTTTGATTTTTTGCACAAGCCAGGGATGACATGAGTTTGTCAGCTTCGATGGCGGCGTTTTTAAACATCGTCCACCCGAAGTCCCACTCTTCAGCTCCCCCTGTGGCAATAGCACTGCAGTACACTGTGGACCTCAAATTGGGGTGAATCCTTTAAACCAGAAACTTCAATTAGACATACTCAGTGCTTAATTTGTAAATGAATAATTCCCAGAACAAAACTAGGAAATAAAAGTTACTGTGATCGGCGTCCACCAAACCATTTCAGTTTTCTTGGAAAACATGACATCATTAAACGGTAATATCGCAAAAAAGAGCCTCACATTTCTGAATGGTCTTTTATTATTTTGTGTCATGTATAACATTATAGGTCAGTCATGGATAATAAAACATTTAGCTACAAACTTAAATCGTATGAACAATCACTATTCAGTCCACTTCACTATTATGGCCAAGTGGAAAACAAATAATTTAATGACTTACTCCGTCTAATCTACAAGAAGAGCCCAGTTACCTCTTCTGTTATGTTTTCTGGCTGACTTGAGATCCTTTCTCCTGCTATCCAGATCCATTTGCACAGTTTCATCTTATCAAGATCTCTTTTGATCAGGATCATTATTAGATTTACTCGTGGTTTTAAAAAATTAAAATATGCATGACTGGCTCTTTGCCATTTTGAAAATACAAATATTACTTAGGCAAGCCACTATGCTATTATTTATTTTCGCTGCTCTTTGTGCGTGAAACAAGAATCACCAACCAATGAGACTGATTGTAAACACACACGTAGGTATTCACCATGCACAAGTTAATGCCGGATTTAATAAAATAAATACCGAAACAAAACACCAATATCGGAATTTTTTTCAGAACAGGATCCGGCTTAAATTAAGCATTGGGTATGTTTATTAAATAATGTTGCTATACTAATAAAAGGTCATCTAACATTTTGTCCACATTCTGATTCCTGATGCACCAAGCTGACAAGAGCTAACACCATGTAACAACAAGATTCCAGTAACAAGCAATTGGCAGTCTGTGACGCAACATGACAGAAACATTTAAATACCAGCCACTACAATCGAATCGAGATGTTAAAGGCTTAATTTAATCCAAGTATTACATATTGAACCTCTTTAAGATGATTAATAGGCCACTGAATGACTCATGTTGTTGATTTGCACTGTCATAGTTTGGAGTTTCATTTTCAAATCGTCTGCTATTGCTAAGTATTTTATTATTAAGATCTGAAGTGAACCATCTGCTGCTGCTTTCAGTAGTATGGCAATAAATGTTATGTAAAATGGTATTCAAAGTCACATAGATAGAATTCAACACTGAAAAAGCACACAATCTGTACCTGAGGGGATCTTTGTCATAGTAGTTTATGCTGTTGTTCTGCTGAGGCATTGTAGAAATAGGCAGCATTTCAAAAATTGAAATTTTGCGTATCATAGTCGCAGATGTTTAGGACAAAAACTTATTTTAAGATGCAACAGACCTTTCAATGCATGTCACAGTGCTACGTAGCATGTAGTTAGGACACAGTATCACTGTAGCATTATAAAGTTAAAGAGTTTACAGGTGTTTGCAAACTAGTATGTGCTTTCAAAAATTATCATCTACATCAGGAGCAGATATCAATATTGATCTATGATATTTATCAGGTATATCTGTATCACCTGATAAATTATTTTATTTTTAATCTTACTAGTATTTGGCAGATAAGAAAATTATTTTTTTCACTGCTCTTTTATTTAATAGAAAAATCACACACCCATTTTATCTTTTGCCTCTGTATTGTTATTTTAAAAAGGCTCCAAAAATTCACATTATAGGGATAGTTCACTCACAAATGTAAATCTACTGACTATTTACTCTCTCACAAGTGGTTTCAGATCTTTATGGGTTCTTGATGAACACTAAAGAAGACATTTTGAAGAAAGATGAAACCTGTAACCACTGACATCCTTATATAGTAGGAGTAACAAATACTGTGGAAGTCAATGGTTACAGGTTTCCAGCTTTCTTCAAAATAACTTCTTTTTCGTTCAACAGAAGAATGAACACAAAGGGCTCTATTTTGACGGTCCATGTGCAGAGCGCAAAACGCAGAGCGCAAACGCTTTCAGGGCGTGTCAGGACGCGTTTTTGCTAATTTAAGGACGGGAAATCTGCCTTGCGCTTCGGCGCATGGTCTAAAAGGGTTGAGTTTATTTTCTTAATGAGTTATAGGTGTGTTTTGAGAATAAACCAATTAGAGTCTCATCTCCCATTCCCTTTAGGAGTCAGCTGCGTCGTGCCAAGAGCGCACTCGCTATTTACAGGACGCAAAGTAAGTCTAAGTGGAAAAAATGAGCATTTCACAAGCAAACAGTTAACAGTTAACAGTTTTTTTAACAGAAAACTGTTAAAAAGAGCATCTACTGGCTGAGAATGAGAGATAATGGATCACTTTCACATTCGCTCTTGGATAGGGAAACCTTTACGCACATACATCAATTAGTCTATAAATAAATACTTTTGTTTGTTAAGCTCAAATATTCGTTTCAAAAACTATTTCTAAATTCAATTCTAATTTCCAGCAAATGAATAAATGAATAATAATAACAAAGTGTGCTCAAAAACCTGAGTTATATCCTAAAACACATGCTGTGCCACATATGGTCTAAAACCTGACAGGTGGGCAAATCTAAGCTTGTTTTTAATAAAACAAATATAAATATGGATATAATAAATAATACTGCTAATAATAATAACATTATACAAAAGCAAATTGTTATGAATGAACTGAAAAAGCCTCCTAAGATGAAGAAGACATAAAAGCAGTGATTTTTCATATTTATGTAGACTAGAAAATAAAATGTTTTTTAATATTTTAATGCTTTATATTGATATTCTATATCTATTCTTATTATTATTATTATTATTATTTATTATATATATCCTTAATATTTTTTTTTTTTCATATGTAAAGATATTTGCCTATTGCACTCTTGTGCGTATTAAGCAGTGCGTAAGCGAGGCGCAACTCTGTGCCGGAGTTTAGACCGGGTTAGTTTTGGTCTAATGAAAAATCTGTTTTAGTTTCTTAAAATAGCGACGCGCCAGCGGTCCGCCTCAGAACGACTTCCTTTTTAGACCAGAACGCCTATGGGCGCACAAATGAGCGCTAATGCATTTGCTATTAAAACAGCGTAGCGCAACGCCTCAAAACGACTCTTGCGCCAAGTTGAAACTACCAAAAGACTATTGTGCCGCGCCTTGCACCACACTGTGTCGGGTTTATGATAGGGCCCAAAAAGGTTTGGAACAAGTGAAGGGTGAGTAAATGAATTTGTCCTTTTAGATTTGTATTTACTGGCCTCTATATTTATTGGTTTTTCAAATATAAATAGTTATCTGTTATTGATGCTGACTAAAATTTCCAAATATGTGCATGTCTAGGTCTCTATAGTTCGTACTCCTCATGGAAAAAGGGAAATTAGAGCAGCACAACACTGCAAAAACTACTGACTCTATGAATAATTGGCTTGATCTGTCAAAGGAGTACCAATTGCTCAAATGCATTCTGAATATACTCACGGGTTGTGGTTTGGCTGGTCCATCCATTGTTTGTACCAGCTTGAAGTGAGATTTTGACATTCATCTACACCAGTGCTGCAGGCGAATCTAATTGCATTAACTTGATTATACCTACAGAATGACAATACAAAAAATAAATCAAATGTCAATTATTTATGACTTTTTTATGATACAATTTTGGCATCACTTGAAAATGTCATTATTTATGGATTACTTACTGGTCTGTATGGCCAGAGGGAACATCAGACCAGTCTTCAGTAATAGTCTTGAAATAGTCAAAAAGTGGGGTCACCTGCTTTTTAGTGTAGCTCTACAACAAGAAATGCAAAATTTATAAAAATAGCATGCCTATGTACATACTTATACAACAGACCCAATTATCAAGTATGATTTATTTTTAACATCGATTAATTATTAGAACAAACCTGTAAGAGTCGATAGACCTCAGTTTGTGTAAACATGAGGTAGAAATAATCCAAGTTGTTGAGGGCAGACTGCCACGGCATATATTCTCTTTCTTCAGATAAGTATGTGGTTGTTTTTAGTGCTAAAGTGACAGGAATTATCTTAGCCCTTGAAAAAGAATTCAGATTACATTGAAATTTGCATTCACATATTATAAGTAATAACTATTTCTTTTGACCCCAGAGTAATAAAGGGACTAAGCCGAAAAGAAAATGAATGAATGAAATATTTTCTTCTTAGTTCTCTTCATTTGTGCTGCATATCTCTTTACCTTGCGAGATTAAATGCATCGTCTACTATCTGAGCTCTGTTGATGACTGAAATGACCTGTATGAAAATTATGCAGTAATAACATATGAAAGACAGATAAATGTGGCTAATTTGATATTAAATCTAATCATGTCTATGTGAATTTACCTTGTGATTCTCTGCCAGCTGATTTAAGAGACGTTCCCAGTTCCCAATGTCATAATTCACTCTGTAATACCCTGTGATGTTCAGGTTCAGAAGCACCCACTCACTCCCAGTCGTCTTCATATCATTATATACAGCTATATGTTGAAAGATAATTATGTAAATCTGTTTATTATACATAAAGAGTGTTTGTTGGTTTCAGAACTGCCTGACAGGATAAAATGACATAATCAAAACATGTTTTTGTGTTCATACCAGTTCTTTCCAAAAGCCAAAAGCGTGACTGCACCATCTTTGATTTCATCCAGTTAATGGGTACAATCCATTCATAGCTAAAAGAATCAGTAGAAATAGTATTAAACACTATAGAAAACAGGCGTAAATGGAACACTACAGTGGTCAACATTTGAAGTGATTCAAAACCTTGCATCAAAGTTATTTTAAACCTTTAAACGACACTCAATTTTGTCTTAGGACAATTTTGTTGATCCACTCCAAATGTTGACCACTTCTGCAGCTTCTGAAATGACTTTAGGCCTACTTGAATGGAGACGTCCTCTGCAGAGAAGACTCGGGATCCAGAAGGAAGTGCATCTGAGAGACCTGACCAGTCGTAGTGTTGACCGTGACCACAGGGAAACCCATTTGAAGAACCCAGCGGTCCATGATTACTTTAACACTTAAGGGAAGTACTGTTCCAGTCTTATTAACAGCCTAGATGTGTTACAGGGATAGTTCACTCAAAAAGAAACATCATGTCATCATTTACACACTCTTTATTGGTTAATACGTTTCAGAAGGAATTATTATTATTATTTATTTATTTTATTTTTTTGTCGTCGGTTATTTTGATACATCAGCACATACAAATACAGTCTCAGTCATACAGTGGGAAAGAATTATTTTTGAAATATTCTGTGACATAACTTACACCTTTAAAAAGAGTAATGAACCACTAGAGGGCAGTACTGACAAACATTACGTTTTCTGAGAACTTCTATGTAAACATTAGTCAAATAATTACGTTTTAAATGCATTATATTGACATATTTAAGTTTATATTTAATTTTGAGGTAACTTACAGTTTGAAGGTGATCCCACAGATCCTCACCGACTGTATTTTGATCGGCAAACATGGTGAGATAAGTCTTTTAAGAGGAAAACATAATATAATTTTACTTTACTGCATATATGGAGCATAAACATTAAACTTAGAAACAAAACACACGTTATTATCACATGCAAGAGGATGCATCTTACATTTAGTCCCTGAACGAACACAGGCTCTGTGAGGAAGTCTGACAGCATTCTCAACACCGACGCCCCCTGCAGGTAATGAATAAACATTGAGTTTTTTCTTATCAGTGTTCTTCAAGTTTATCAAGTGTACTGTACCTTGCTGTAGGAGACAGTATCAAACTGCTCAATGATCTGCTCGGGTTTTATAATATCTTCCTCTTTAGAAGACAGCGGATGAGAGGAGGCCAGAGCATCCACAGCAAAAACGCGGTGTACGTCTTTAAGAATGATCAAGTCTTTCTGTGAAAACGTACAGGAAAGGGAATAATATAAATAAATAACCTAACATAATATAAAGTATTATCTGTTTCCTTTTTTATTGTTTTAAAAATATATTTTTGTCAGTTATTTTAATGTCTCCATTTGGCGTGTGGTGACTCGGGTGGTGACGTAGGGAAACAAAGAGCGGGTGTTACCAGAGTTACTCCAGATTTATTTTGAAATTTCTCTCAAAACGTTTGAGACTCAGGACGAAGAAGCAAATATTTGAGCTGTTAAATGTCGGTAGGCGTTTCAACGATTATAGGTGAGCTTTGTTTAAGGTAGTCAATGGCAAAACGTTTATCAACGTTTTTTTTTTTTTTTGTCACATTAAATTTGTTTGTAGATCTGAGGCAGGATGTAAGGCTGCCACATGGAAATGAACAGATCTTTACAAAAGACAGTTGCAGTTAAACCACGGTAAGTTAACGTTAAACTCAAAACAAACTTGCTTTTGCTACACTAATTCTTTAAAGTTTTTATATAACCTTTGTATACAAAAATCTGTAAGGGACTTTAAAAAGGTTCTAGATCACCCATATAAAGTTTTTATTTTTTTTGTCTTAGAGCACCTAAACTTCTCAGTTTTTTTTTTCAAAAGATTGGCTATTTGATTTTTATTTTCTAAAATGATTTGTCAGCTGCTGTATATTATAGAGTTTGTAAATTTAAAAAAAAGTACATTATGTTTTATTATTGCTTAAAAAAATGAACATGACGTTACCCTGACTAAACTCTAAATAGAGTTCATTTTAAAAGATGTAAATGTTTTTAATTGATTTTTGCCACATGTAGCATTAATTTGTGAGCACTCACCACGTTCCAGGATGGTTCTGCAAAGTCTGCACCAAGATACGACACATAAGATGCAAAACCTTCATTCAACCAAACCTCATTCCACCATTTTAGAGTCACAAGGTTGCCAAACCACTGAGCAGTAAAACACATAAAAAACATGATATTATTATATTACACATCATAGGTATTATACATTTAACTTGTCATATTTTTGTGAATACAAGTACCATGTGAGCCAGTTCATGGGCAATAATGGTGGCTGTTCTTTCTTTGTTTGCATTAGATGAGACGGTTGGATCGTATAGAAGGTTAGATTCTCTATACATCACCAGACCCCAATTCTCCATCGCCCCAAAGTAAAAATCAGGAAGGGCAATCTGGTCTTCAAGTGAGAGAAAGAGTGAAAAGAATTAATTTCCCCTAAGCCAATAATATAATAACATTCATGAGTTGATATAATATAAACCCACCTGATTTAGAAAGTGGATAAGGTACATTGTAATAGTTTTCAAAAAACTTCAGGATTGGGCCTGTTATATTCAGAGCATAATCACCATGGCCGTCCTCAATGGCTTTCTTACGGGCCCATATCCGTATCTGCTCAGAGCAAACATCATTTAGTCATACGCATTACGAGCACATATGCAGTTAGGGACATTTTGTGCTCAATAAACATAATTTTTATCTGTTAAAACAGCTTTACAGCTCATGAGAGGCGAATGAGAGCTGTACCAAGGTGCCATCTGCTGATGTAACATTAGTGTAGTCACTGACAACCAGTGCCAATAGATACGAGGACATGATCTTTGTGGGTTCAAATGTTGTCACTGTAACTGGCTGTCCATCAACAATGGTGTCCACGTTTTCTAAATAAGGAAAAAAAGCAGTAAACCTACATTAAAGCTGTATAAGTCAATTCAACAATGTTTTCTAATTCAAATCAGTCTTAATTCTGCATTAGCAAGTTTTTAAAAGTGAAGGGTACACATTAGGGGAATACAGTCTTTGGTGGTTGTTGCTAGAAGGGATACAGCTGCGGCTGTAAATATTATCGATTAAATTAGCCATTACTTGTATTTCATTAATGTCTAGCCCTACCCCAACCCTAAAGCCAACCATCACAGTAATGTAAAGCAGTAATTATACTGAGTATTATTCATATTATTAATTAAAATACCCTTTAAATAGTATTTTATTTACATCTTCCTCTCTTCCAACCCTAAACCCAACCCTCACAGTAATGTAAAACAGTAATTATACTGAGTATTATTCATATTATTAATTAAAATACCCTTTAAATAGTATTTTATTTACATCTTCCTCTCTTCCAACCCTAAACCTAACCCTCACAGTAATGTAAAACAGTAATTATACTGAGTATTATTCATATTATTAATTAAAATACCCTTTAAATAGTATTTTATTTACATCTTCATTTCTTCCAACCCTAAACCTAACCCTCACAGAAATGTAAAACAGTAATTATACTGAGTATTATTCATATTATTAATAAAACTACCCATTAAATTGTATTTTATTTACATCTTGTCCTCTTCCAACCCTCACAGTAATGTAAAACAGTAGTTATACTGAGTATTATTTATATTATTCATTACACTACCCATTGCATTGTATTTTATTTACATCTTGCCCTGTTCCAACCCTAAACTCAACCCTCACAGTAATGTAATACAGTAATTATACTGAGTATTATAAATATTATTAACTAAACTAAGTATTAAATTGTATTTTATTTACGTCTTGCCCTCCTCCAACCCTAAACCCACCCCTCACAGGAATGTCATTAGAACTAACCAATCTCCATTCCATTGGACAGGGCCACGGTTCCTCTATCATGGATGAGAGTGATGTGGAAAACGGCTTTCATTGCAGGCTCATCGAAACATGGGAAGGTCTTGCGAGCATGTGTGGGATGCATCTGGCTGGTGGCAACTATCCTGGAGGAAGTCATTATTGTCATATCTGCAAGATACTTTGTTCCTAACAAAAAATGGTAAGTGCAGACAGTAAAATCCACACTGGGTTATTAGTAAACCATTGTGTATAAAAATAGGTATTTTATGTGTTCAAACAACGTGTGCATGATGATTGAACCCCTCACACATGAGAACTTCCCTCTATCATATAATGCTTAAACATAAACATAAAAAGCTGCTTTATGGCTGCTGTTAGTGTCTTCTCTTTTTTATATGAGGGTGCAAAGGTCAGACAGGTATAAAGCTCCTGAGAGACTCCTGAGAGAAACAAACATGTGACCTGCCAACTAAAATAGCCAAGATGATGATCTTAATGCAGATCTGAATGTCTTGCAGATCTTAAAAATCTCATATGGACTTACTTTTTCTCTCCGTCCTCATCGTATTCACTACGGTACAACCCGGCCAGGTCGTCTGCAAGTTCTCCAACAAACTCAGTGTAAAGCACATAGAGCTCTCCAGCTTTGAGTTTACCATTCAGTTGCAAGACAAGGTACTGCGTCATCTCCTCTATCCAGGTTTTCTTCACTGAAGGCACCTCTGAAGTACTAAATGCTGATAGTTTGGCCAGATATCCATCTTCTGAGGTCAGGTTCAGCTTATTGCAGTGAATTATGATGATATCAGTCTCCCGCAAACATTTAAAGACCACGCTGGAATTTCCAGTAAACACATAGAGGCCGTGATCATCCGGCTGGAGTCGAGGCCAGAGAGTGATGTTGTAGTAGTGTGGAAACAGAGTGTCTGGTAGACGATACTCTTTCCAAGGCTCGACATGAGATTCAGTTGTTGGAAGGAGTTGAACGGTCCACAAACCAACAATGGTGGCCAGTGAAGCCATTCCCAAGAAGGTGCATCCAAGGCACATTGCGCTAAAATGGATTCTCTTCATGCTCCCTATCAGTTTAGGTCAGCTACAATCAGCCCAAACAGATGTTATTTTATTTATTCTTCCCACCTTTTCTCCTCCCAAAGGGTATAATGGCTCATCTATTAACACCGAGACTGGCTAGTGAAAGAATTTGGAAATCTGATAAGTTGAGGTGCACTAGGATAATATACCATGCCATGTGTCTTTCCTGACATGTTTATGCAGCCATTACTCTTAAGTAGAATGTGACGGTGAGAATCGTGGGAAGGAACTCATGAAAACAAACATGGATGCGTCTCAGTCGTGAAATTATCTAATGTAAACAAAAAATATATTATGGTTTGGTTTAAATTTTATGTTTAATTATATTAGAGGCCAGTTTATAATAAGGCTACACACTCAAAAATATGTTTGCTGATTGTTCAAACTACTTATTTAAAATGAGCTATAATGTATTAAGCTAATTGGCTAACTTAATTCTTATTATGTTGTATCAACACAAATCCATTGTGTGGAAATCAGCATTTTTTACAATGAGGCATAAATGATGAGGGTATCGAAATTCTTTGCTTCTGTGGTGCATCGTGATGTAGACTAGGATGATTCGGTATTGTTTTAGTAACAGACCATACCTAGTTATGATGTACTGAAGGTTTCCTGACTTACTTTGTTGTGGTAGCATATATGGCAATGGAGGCAACACGTGTGCAAGTAATTAAAAAGTGCATCATTGATTCATTGTTGATGCATCGTGATATCATTCATTCATTCATCCCTTATTTATCAGGGGTTTCCACAGTGAATGAACCGGCAACTATTCTGGCATATGTATAATGAAGCTGATGCCCTTCCAGCTGCAACCTATTACTGGGAAACATGGTGATATCAATGACATGATAATTATTATCAAACCAAACCATGAAACCAGTGTACTGTAGTTTTGCAGCCCTACTAAATGATAAAACAAATATTCAACAGTATCACCTTTGCCAACTGTTTGGAAAACTATGCATCATCCAGGCATTCTTAAAATGAAATGTTTCATTGTTTTGTTTTCCTCGAGTGATTCCAATGAAGAACTATTTTTGGTTTCTCAAAGAACCTGTTGGCGTTTCTAAAAAAACATTACAAATATTAAAAAAACACTGACTAGAAAAATTCAATTGACGCTAAAGGTTCTTCATGGTTCTCCACTGATGCCAACAAATAAACTTTATTATAAAAAGTGAGATTTAAAACATCAACTTATGTCTGTGATTGCATCTCATTTCCTTTAAAGGATGCATTCGAAGGGCACTGCATCATCATGGAGCAATGAAGGCTGTCTTTCAAATGCAGCCTCCAAATGTTTCCCAGGTAATAAAGGATACAACTGGTGGATCCTTTATGGCCTTGAACATACCTAGATTCATTGTCTGCTGATAATGGCAAATTAAAAGGATTAAAAGTATTAATTAGGTTTTATTTTACTTGTCTATAAATAAACATGTTAAAAAACAAAAAGAGTATGAAATGTCTTACTAAAAGTGATTTTACTATCAGATCGCTTAAAATAAGTTTTAAAATCACTTTGAAAAAAGTAATTACAAGTTTTATTACCACTTATTAACGGCGACTATGATAGTTACTAGGAGAGGAGATCGGTCCTCTGTAGGCTTGATCGTCTCATTTCAAAACACTTTGTTTGGCTTGTGTGGTTTTCAAGGACTCATCTTTGAAGTGTGCATCATTTCCAGCACACAAAACTCCATTGCAAACAAATGGCTTTGCAAAATATTATGGGCTATTCATTTCAATAGGAATTATTTCACTTTCAATAGGAATACAGATTTCACTTAAAAATTCAAGCAGCTTGGTTTGAAAGTGACAAAAATCTGCTGAAATAAAATTATTCTTTTGAATCAAAGTTTGTGGCTCAGTGGTTAGCACTGTTGCTTCACAGAAAAAATAACGTTGGTTTGAGTCTCAGTTGATATTTCTGTGTGGAGTTTGCATGTTCTTTTTACAGTAATTCACAGTCCAAAGACATGCGCTATAGGTGAATTGGGTAAACAAAATTTGCCATAGTATGTGTGTGAATGTGAGAGTGTTTGGGTGTTTCCCAGAACTGGGTTGGGACTGGAAGAGCATCCGCTGCGTAAAATATATGCCGAAATAGTTGGCGGTTCATTCCCCTTTGGTGACCCCTCATAAATAAGGGACTAAGCTGATGAAAATGAATCAATCAATCAAAGTTATTTGACACACACAATTTGATTTTTTGGTTATGTTTGATTCAACATTTCAATTACGAAAGCTCCTACTTTGATGTATATTATAACTTTTGAGAGACAAGGTAATTTACTGGCCTCTGACGGCTGGCACAGCTTTGAAATAATAAGTTAGAAATGTATCCTTATGCTTGAAAATGAGCTTTGGAACAAAGATAACCAAGAGATTATGAAGTATGAAAAGCCCTAACAAGTACTACAGTCAGAAAACAGACAGTTAACTAGATAGACTAGACAGTTAATCTAGTTAGACTAGAAAAGTAGAAAAGATTATGGATGGATGTGTTTATTTTCATTACACAAAATATCAAAATGACAAATACCAAATAATCATGCACCATTTGCATATTCAGTTCTACAGTTATTTAACATTATAATAACATTATAAAACATTGCAAAGAATGATCAAAGACAAAATGAATAATTACAACATGAAAAAACTCCAAGAAAACATATTTATACACTGTACATCTTCATAGGAAGAAAGTAGCTGTGGAAAATATTGCGAACATCATGAATAATAAATAATCATTTTTCTTGAGTCCTCATTTAGATATAGCAAAACAGCGTGTTCCCCAGTGTTCCTCTCCTCCTCAGAGCAAACTAATCACAGCATGTTCATAGCTTTTAGGGTTTGGATTGGTCTTTAAACCACTGTAAAACATCAGCTTTGTTCTGTTCCACCCATTTGATGTTGGCTTTTGTCCTCTCAATGGATTGCTGAATGGCTAGGGATCCGGAACCGAAGCCGATGTGCTCGTTGTCCTCCTTGAACTGCATTAGCTGCATTTGCAAAACAGAAAAGGATATTTAGAAACATTCACATGTACAGTTGAAGTCAGGATTATTAGCCCTCCTGTATAGTTTTATCCCCAATAACTCAGGGATATATTTATCCCCAATGTCTCAGGGACAGAAATAATTTTTTTTGTTCACTTTTTTTTCGAAATAAAACAAATAAGACGTTCTGCAGAAGAAAAATATTATAGAAAATACTGTGAAAAATTCCTCGCTCTGGAGAAGTCATTCGGGAAATATTGGAAAAAGAAAAAATAATAATAATAATTTTGACTTCTACATGATGGCAGTCAAATAAATCAAGCATTGATGAAGAAGATAACATACCTGTTTCAGTTCAAACTCAGTGGAGAATCTCTTTGTGACGCCGTTGATCAAATTGGAGAAAGAAAAAGATCCACCTCCATACCTAATGGAGAATTTTAAAAAAAAGTGGAAATGCGTTTACTATATAGAAAACTATGGGCCCTATCATACACCTTACGCAATAAGGCGCAGGACATATTTGGCGCGATTTGTTGCTATTTTTAGACCAGTAAAACCCTCATTTTGAGGTTTTACGCCACTTTGTGGCATATTTTTATATATATATATATATATATATATATATATATATATATATATATATATATATATATATATATATCCATATCTTTATCTATCTATCTATATATATATATATGTATGTGTGTGTGTGTGTGTGTGTGTGTGTGTGTGTGTATGTGTGTGTGTGTGTGTGTGTATATAGAACTGCCTCCATGCCTTCATGTCGGGGAGCTTTTTTAGATTGTTCATGACAATTTGTGCTTGTATAATGTTATTGTTACTAACAGTATTATTTAATATATGCAAATTTATATTTAGTTTAGATTTGTCCATCTGTTGGGTTTTGGAGACGTATGTTATAAGAATAGGAAGTGTTGTTGTATATAACTCAGTTTTTTGAGCACACTTCATTATTATTGTTAATTTATTCATTTGCTTGAAACTAGAACTTAATTTATAAACAGTTTTGAAACAAATATTTGCATTTAAAAAACATAAATATGTAAGGTAATGGATGTTTTCAGTGGAGTCCATACAACACTGTTTCCTCACTCCACAAAAGTAAAGGAGTAAAGAGTAAAAGAATGGAGGAGTCTCGTTCTTTATCCACGCGCTGCAGATGGTCTGTTTAACTGTTTTCTCGCTAGTGAAGACTTTTGCAACATGCGCTTTAGACTTTGCACTTAGAACATTAAATAGAGTCCAAAGTGTTCCAAAGAGTTTACTTACTGGTTGAAAATGTACTCCCAATTGGCTCGAACAAAATCCCAAGCCAATGATTGGCCGCCTACATTGCTTGCAATGCTGACAATGGTAGAAGTAGCATCTTGCTTGCGAATTTTGTTTGCATCCAAAGTGTATTCGAGATACCTGCAACATAACCCGAAGCTCATGTATTTAACTGAATATAATGAGAGATATATACATTTGTTAGTATTAACCTGCCGTGAGCTCACCTGTTCAGTAACCAGGGCTGGGTGGCACATGCCATTGCAGCTCTCAGTTTGTCTTTTTCGGAAGCGACGGAAGTCTTTTCAAACATTTTCCAGGCGAATTCCCACTCTTCAGCACCACCTGCAGCAATGGCACTGCAGTAAACTGTAGACCTCAAGTTGGCATGAATTCTGATGCAGAAAAAAACAACGGTTAAAAAAAGAGTTAAATGGCAGTCTATTGATTCAACGTTTGAATTTTGCAGTCAGTAAATGTACTGAAATACTGCAAAGGCTTAATATGCAGTGGCCCCATAACTTTAAAAATTATTTAAAATCTTTGATGTTCTTTCTGGAGATGTTAAATGTTACTTTTGACCCTGTTGCTAATCATGAAAATGCATACAAACTTTTAACACACTGATGTGTTGCGAAGTTGTGTTTAAGGAAAAAAAGTATTACATATTTGATGTTATTTATTCATTCATTCATTTTCTTTTCGGCTTAGTCCCTTTATTAATCATATATTGCCACAGCTGAATGAACCGCCAACTTCTCCAGCATATGTTTTATGCAGGGGATGCCCTTCCAGCTGCAACCCATCACTGGGAAACACCCATTCACTCTAATTCATATACACACACACTACGGACAATTTAGCTTACCCAATTCACCTCTAGTACATGTCTTTGGACTTGTGGGGGAAACCGGAGCAACCTGATGTTATTTATTTTAATATAATCCACTTCATTACTCATTGCATTTATATAGTGCTTTTTTATACACTCAAAGTGCTTTACACATTGGGGGAATCATTGGGGGGCATTTAATAATTAAAAAAAATACATCTTATATTATTTGACAAATTAAATATTTATACATGTTTTGTAACAACATTATAGACATACTACTTTATACTTTCAAAACTAAGAATTTATAATATTGGCCTACTGTCCCGAGAGCCCTGAGGTCATAAGATCCTTAAGCCTGAGGCTCCCTCCCGTTTGCAGGACGAGAGGGGTAGTTTGAGCTCAGGTAGGTCTCGAGAACTCCCCCCTTTGTTTAAGGGCTGATGGCAGATAATAGTAGAGCTGGTTATGAGCTCGACTATAGTACTAATTAAGATCGATCAATTGACTTATGACACATGTTTTCAACTGTGGAAAGAAAACTGGAGAACCCGGGGCAAAACTCACGCGAGCATGGGAAGAACATGTAAACACACAGAAATGACAGCTGGCTTGTTAAGGATTTGAACCAGTAACATTCTTGCCGTGAGGCAACAGTGTTAACCGCTGAGCCACCACTGAGTGGAAGGGGGGATTCTTCATGGAGAAGATAACTGTAGTAAAACCTCTGGCTATTTATAGTGAGTCAGAAATCATCTGATTAGTGAATCAGGTGTTAGTTAATGCGAGACCAGCTGTGTTCAATCATAATCACGTGCTCCTCTCAAAATTTGTTCATGAATAAACTTCACAGTTGAAATCAAAATTATTAGAATTTTTTCATAGAATTTTAATTCATAGTATTTTATATAATTTGTGTAAGTGATATGAAATGTGTAAGGATTGATGCTAGGATTTTTTTTCATAGTGTTTTCAAAAATATTTTTTTCTTCTGAAGAAAGTCTGATTCCTTTTATTTCGGCTAGAATAAAAGCCGTTTTTAATTTTTTACAAAACATTTTAAGGTCAATATTATTAGCCCCCTTAAACAATATTTTTTTCAACTGTCTACAGAACAAACCATCATTAAACAATGACTTGCCTAATTAACCTTATTAAGCATTTAAATGTCACTTTAAGCTAAACACTAATTTCTTCAAAAATATATTAAAATATCTAGTAAAATATTATGTAATGTCATCATGGCCAAGATAAAAGAAATTAGTTATTAAAATTGTTATATTTAGAAATGTGTTCCATTTAAGCAGAAATTGAGGAAAAGATATACAGGAGGGCTTATAATTCAGGAGGGCTTATGATTCTTACTTAAACTGTATATTATATCAGAGCTATAATAATAATAATATTCTTATGGGGCGTCACAGTGGCACAGTGTGTAGCACGATCGCCTCACAGCAAGAAGGTCAATGGTTCGAGCCCCGGCTGCGTCAGTTGGTATTTCTGTGTGGAGTTTGCATGTTCTCCCAGTCCAAAGACATGCAGTACAGGTGAATTGGGTGTGCTAAATTGTCCGTAGTGTATGTGTGTGTGAATGACAGTGTATGGGTGTTTCCCAGTGATGGGTGGTAGCTGGAAGGGCATCCACTGCATAAAACAAATGCTGTTCATTCCCATGTGGCAACCCCTGATTACTAAAGGGACTAAGCCGAAAAGAAAATGAATGAATGAATAATATTATGTAGCAAGAACTGTATGATCTGCTTTAGTATACATTTTATCATCAATGCTATAATGCGATATAATGTAAAATAGTCAGACACAAAATTTCTGTTTACTCCAGTGTGAAACTTACGGGTTGGCATCTTCATTGTTCATCCACTCTCCGAACCATGATGTAACAAGATCTGTACAATTTTTTAACCCAATGCTGCAGGCAACTCGGAGAGCATTCACTTGATTGTATCTGCAGATACCAAAAAAAGTATGCAATAAATACATATTTATGTAAATATGGTAAATGCTGAATATTCATGACTTACTGTTCAGTATGATTGTCAGGCACACCCTGCCAGTCTGTTAGTTCTGTAAAGTATTCAAACAAGGGTGTCACCTGCTTTCTAATGTATGCCTGCAAACATGAAAACAACATGATTATTAATGTATGTTAACAAATATTTAAAGCTTAGTTTAGCTGGTGTTATTGAAATATCCAGAGACAAACTTACCTGCATGTGGCCGTAAACCTCTGAGCGATCAAACATGAGGTAAAAGTAGTCCAGGTTGTTGAGAGCAGACTGCCATGGCATGTATTCGGTTTCTACATCTAGAAACTCTGTGGTTCTTAGAGCCAAGGTTGTTTTAATAATTCCTGCTCTATAAAGGATAGAGATGATTATTAGTATTTGGACTGACTGGAGATTATACTCAGAATTTTAAAGAATGAAATTGGCATCTTACTTGGCCAGGTTGAAAGCATCATCGATTAGCTGTGCCCGGTTAATAACTGGAATACTCTGAAGGAAATCACATTTAAAAGTAGTTATTATGCTGAATAAAAACAGTATATTAACAATAAACCTTAGCAGGAAAAACACACACGCATAACATGTAGACATTTATGCTGATATTTAATTATTCAATATATTGTGAATATGGACATGCACAATATTGATATCAAGAGCACTTCAAAATATTGTGAATAATTATTTATTATTTAAACTTTCTTTTAGTGTCTTTTAGTAATATCCAGGTTGTTGTATTGGCAGTGGATGATCATTACAGCAACAAATTAAAGATTCATAAGTGGTTTATTTTCACCATCTTCACCTGCATGTGGAACACATATGATTATGTGAATACCCAAATTAAACACATTGAACATCAAATCAAGTATGAAACACATGGAAAATGAATCGCACTTGAAAGAAATGTGGAACACATGAAATATGTAAATCACACGTAAAACAAGCATGGAACACAGATGGAACTTGTAAATCACACTTAAAACACGCATGGAACACAGATGAAACATGTAAATCACACGTAAAACAAGCATGGAACACACATAGAACATGTAAATCACACATGAAACAAAAGTGAAACACACATGGAATGCATGTGAATCATCAGCCTGATCTCACGAGGAAACGTAACTATTTTATTTTTTTGTAAGTTTAGTGGCTAATTCTTATGAATTAGCTACTAAACTGTTTGGTTGTACAAAACTGTATTATTTTAAAAAGGACACCAAACCCCACCCCTTAACCCAACCATGGGGATAATCAAATCTTATTAGATTATACAAATGAGATCGAACAAATTTGTACAAATTAGCCAATAAATCACAAAGAGATAACATTGGAATCACACGAAACGTAGTGTCATGTGAAAAAAAATGTTATCACTTAACTTAAAATAAAATAAATATCACTTAAATAAAAATGTTCCAAAACCAAGTTTCATGCATAATTAATATGTGTTTCCAGTATATTTTATATGTGATTTTAACAGACAAGATGCTCATTTGACACTGGCTGAATTGTTAATAAACATATTTCTCCTTACCTCTCTGGATGTCTGGAGAGCATTAAGCAGGCGTTCCCAGTTTTGCTCATCATAGTTAACCCTGTAGTATCCTACCATGTTGATGTTGGCGAGAACCCACTCATTTGCATTCGTTTTCATGTCATCGAATTGAGCTAAAAGAGAAAAAGCATAGATTTACCGTAAGTAAATGTTGTCTTTTATTGTATTTATCCAAACATGACAAGATATGAATTCTGAAATCGGAAAAAAAAATTGTAACATCATCATCATTCAATTATGTTTTTATTATGGTTTTATAAAGGTTTTGTATGTATCTATATATATATATATATACATTTGAAGCCAGAATTATTAGCCCCTCTTTAATTTTCTTTTTTTTCTTTTTTAAATATTTCCTAAATGATGTTTAACAGAGCAAGGAAATTTTCACAGTATGTTTGATAATATTTTTTCTCCTGGAGAGTCTTATTTGTTTTATTTCGGCTAGAATAAAAGCCATTTTTAATTTTTGAATAAACATTTTCTACAGAATGAACATTCATTAAACAATAACTTGCCTAATTACCCTAACCTGTCTAGTTAACCTAATTTACCTAGTTAAGCCTTTAAATGTCACTTTAAGCTTCATAGAAGTGTCTTGAAAAATATCTAGCAAAATATCATCTGTCATTATGACAAAGATAAAGAAATCCGTCATTAGAAATGAGTTATTGAAACTATTAAGTTTAGAAATGTGTTGAAAAAAAAACTTCTCTCCGTTAAACAGAAATTGGGGGAAAAAATAAACGGGGGCTAATAATTCTGACTTGAACTGTGTGTGTGTGTGTGTGTGTGTGTGTGTGTGTGTGTGTGTGTGTGTGTGTTGTGTTGTGTTGTGTTCTTCATTTACTGTCATTGTATGTAATAGAATATAGAATATAATATGTATCCTTTGTCATATGAAGCATACTAGATGATGGCTGCAATGCCATTTTTTTGCAATGCTGTCACAATATAAATCAATCAATATTAATGTCAGTATCAATCTTAAAACTCACTGTTTTTCTGCAGCAGCCAATACTGGGGTTTTATTGCTTCATTCTTTGTCCATGTAATTGGTACAAACCACTCATAGCTGAAAAATAAAGAATACTGTGATATAGTTATTCCACATTTTTATAAGACAGAATTAATATGTAGGATATATCTTAGAGGGCTTTTAAATTGTTTTCAATTTTAAAATGGTAAACTTTTTGTGTTTTAATTGTTCTTCAACATGACAATGCAGTTTGAGGGCCTATAAAATAATCTATTTTTTATTTTTGGTAAATTATTGCTGCGTAAATTTACACTATTTCAAATAGCCTCCATCAAATGCAAAAAAACTGATCTTGCAAGCTTTGTCAGCACATATTTACACATACTTGTTGTTTTTGCTATACACTAGGCTCTATGCTAATTTTGTTATTGTCAATAATTTGCACACTTAAATTGTTAATTTTCAGTATGTTTATCAGCGTATGACAAACTTTGGAAATTAAATTTTTTCGCTTTTATTCATTTATTTATTTTCCTTCAGCTTAGTTCCTTTATTCATCAGCGGTCACCACAGCAGAATAAACCGCCAACTTATCTAGCATATATATATTTTACACAGTGGATGCCTTTTCAGCTGCAACCCATTACTGGGAAACATCCATACACAGTCATTCACCCATATACACTACGGCCAGTTTAATTAAAACTAAAATGTTCTTTTATATTTTTAAATATAAAAGGGAATTTAGTTTTTAATAGTGACATCCTAGATTTAAAGAATCTGGCAAATCCTGCTGACTAAACTCAGTGATTGATGCTTTTTGTTTGACATACTTGAATTCTGATGGCTCTGGTTTGGTTTCAGGGTCCAATAAGAAGTGCTCCTGTGAGATCTGTCCAGTTACGGTGTTAATAGTGACCACAGGGAAGCCCATTTGAAGAACCCAGCGGTCCATAATATCTTTCACAGATCTGGGGAGTTCAGTTCCAGTCTCGTCCACAGCCTATAACAATTCAGAAATGAGCATTTATTCTCTGTATACAGTTGAAGTCAGAATTATTAGCCCTCCTGACTTTTTAGCCCCCTTGATTAATTGTTCCCCAGATTTCTGTTTAACGGAGAGATTTTTTCAACACATTTCTAAACATAATAGTGTTAACTCATCTCTAATAACTGATTTATTTTATCTTTGCCATGATGACAGTAAATAACATTTTACTAGATATTTTTCAAAACACTTTTATACAGCTTATAGTGACATTTAAAAGCCTAACTATGTTAATTAGGTTAACTAGACAGGTTAGGGTAATTAGGCAAGTTATTGGATATTGATGGTTTGTTCTGTAGACAGTCGACAATAAAATTACCCTAAAGGGGCTAATAATTTTGTCCTTAAAATTGTGTTTAAAAAATTAAAAACTGCTTATTATTATAGTCAAAATAAAACAAATAAGACTTTCTCCAGAAGAAAAAATATTATCAGACATACTATGAACATTTCTTTGCTCTGCTAAACATAATTTGGGAAATATTTAAAAAAGAAAAAACAAATTCAAAAGGGGGCTAATAATTCTGACTTCAACTTTACATAGTTGAACACTCTTGTTAAATTTCGACATACCATTTGAAGATGGTCCCAAAGATCTGTGTACACTGTGTTGTTAAATTTGAAATGTTCCAAGTAGGTCTGTTGAAACAAATCGGTCATGAATGAACAGAACAATAAATTCCTTAAATCAAACCAGTAAATAGTGTACAAACGAACTTACTCTGAGCCCTTGAGTAAACACGTCCTCAGACAGAAAGTTTGATAGCATCCTGAGTACTGATGCCCCCTAGAGGAAAATACTACGTTACAAAAAATAACATTTGCAATCAACATGTTAGACGTTACAAACTTAGCACAAAGTTTACCTTACTGTAGGAGATTGTGTCAAACACTTCGCTAATTTGCTCCGGCCTTTGGACATCCTCTTCTTTAGATGATAAGGGATGAGATGAGGCCAATGCATCAATAGCGAAAACTCGGTGCACATCATTAAGAACGATCAGATCTTTCTGTGAAATTTAAGAGTTTGAAGTTAGCCGTAGCTTTTAGCATTTAGCTTTCGCTTTGGCCTCAAATACTCACAATGTTCCATAATGGCTCAGCTTTATCCGCCCCAAGATATTCCACATAAGAGGCAAAACCCTCATTGAGCCACAGGTCATTCCACCACCTGATAGTCACAAGGTTTCCGAACCACTGGAAATATAGTGAAAATGTTTATTAATGAGAGAAAGCAGCTCGAGCTAACATAGGTACAGTACATATTTGCGGAGAAGTTGCTAAGGATGTCTTATCTTTATACAAAAACCTATTTTATATATAGTTGTGCTCCGTAAACCCACCCCTAAACTTGCACTCTCAGATCATACAAACATTTTTGAATAAGACTAAACAAATTCATATGAATTAACTATTAAATCAAAAAGTTACGAATTTCCATGGAATTGTTTTTGAGAAAGTTTTAAGTTATTGGTACAGTTCAGTAAAGTATGGGATCAACCCAATCAGTATCATTTACTTCTAATGCAAATGTCATCATGTAGTCAGGGGTGCTCAATCCTGTTCCTGGAGATCTACCTTCCTGCAGATTTCAGTTGCTACCCATATTAAACACACCTGAACCAATTAATTTGGACCTGAACACCACGTGATAATTACAGGCAGGTGTGTTTGATATGGGTAGCAACTGAAATCTGCAGGAAGGTAGATCTCCAGGAACAGGATTGAGCACCCCTGATGTAGATACTTGGCACAAGAAGGCGACAAGCTTTGTTTGAGCCAGGCATGGTTTATTGTTGTACGCCATCATTGTAATATGTTATGTTTCAGCTGTGTATTTAAAAACGGAGCTTGCTGTGTTGTCATTCCCTTAGCTTAATTCATATGCAGTTGGTGATTCTCTGTACATTTACATTTAGTCCAATGGCAGATGCTTTTGTCTAAAGTGGCTTTCAAATCAGGAGACATTCAGCAAATTATCAAGAAAGACCAATAGTGTTCAGCAGTGAGTCTAGCTCCACTCTTTCCAAAAATGTGTTATGGTATGGTTCGTATTTTGGTACCTTTGACAATGAAAAACTAATAAATGCATACCGTATTGCACTCCACCAGTGGAAACCGGCCATAATAAGAACATCTGTAAACATTTCACATTTAATTTCCTGTCATAAAAAGGGATTCCTACCTGATGGGCAAGTTCATGGGCTATAACAGTGACGACCCTCTCTTTGTTTCCATTTGAGGACATTTCTTCATCGTATAGCAGGGCTGTCTCTCTGTACGTGATTAAACCCCAGTTTTCCATTGCACCAGCGTTGAAGTCCGGCAGAGCGATTTGATCTGCAAACATTTTGAGGCATGAGTAAAAATGCAGCTAAATTCATTTTAAGGTGAAAATGTAGTCTTTAGGAATTCATAAAATGCAAGGTAATGGCTACCAGCAATTTGAAAGAAACAAAAAATAAACTATATTAATACCTGTGGCACTTGACAATACATTGAGGTTTTAAAAAGTGAACTATTGGTTTGTGCAAGAATTTGAACATTAAAAGCTTAGTTCACCCAAAAATAAAATGTTGTTATTAATCACTCATCCTTTTATTGCTTCAAAAATGTGAGACTTTGAAACACAAATGAAGACACATGTTCGTCTTTAATAAAAACAAATGAAGATATTGTAAATTAGATTTGATAGCTCCCTCTTCCTCTATTGAGAACAATGGTCGCTCATTCAAAGTCCAGAAAATTACCAAAAAAAAAAAAACTTTCGCAAAAATAGATCATATGTCTTCAGTGGTTCAATTGGACTATTATCAAGTGACAAAAATACTTTTTGTAAGCATAAAACACAAATATCAACTTGAATCTGCGGACGATTTTTGCTATTTCTGCGGAGAATTTTGGTGCGCAGATTCCGTGTGGGCGTAGTCATGGTACATTGCTCATAAACTTGCACAATATACTGACACTGAGGAGAATAAATTGTTAAACAAAGTTGTTTTTTCTCCTTTACGGGCACACAAAAGTATTTTTGTAACTTAATAATATTCAGATTGAACCACTTTGGTATTTTATACCATTTTATACCACCTCTTTGGTATTTTATACTTTGAAAGAACTAGGACTGTTGCTGTCTTTGGAGGATGAGGGGGCTCATTTCATTAAAAATATCTTAATTTGTGTTCAGAGGATGAACGAAGGTCGTTTGGAGTAACATGAGCTTGAGTTCTTAATGACTGAAAATAATTTTTTAGGGTGAACTTACCCTTTTATTTTTCATCAGCAGCCACAGGTATTAATTTTGTATTGCCTGTAGTGGTTTCTTTGACTATAAAAGTGCAGATAGCTGTGGATTATTAATTTATGAATCACTAAAGATCATAATCCTTTTTTAAGTTATACAGAATAAAAAAAAGATGTCTTCTGAATGGCTCTAAGTTGAGAAATTAAAAGCAAATGTAAAAGCTTTTCTGTGAAGTATGCTTTTAAATTCTAATAATAAAAATTAATGAATTGAACTTTTTGGGATTTAAGGTTCTTACCTGATTTGGGCAGTGGGTAGGACGAATTGTAATACTCCTCAAAGAATCGGAGAATTTTTCCGGTCACATTGAGTGCATACTCTCCTTGATTTGCATCAATGGCTTCTTTACGTGCAAAAATTCGAATCTGATTAAAAAAATGAATACAAATCGTAAATTAACACATGCTGCTTTCAAATTTTTGCTACATTGAGCAGTAATTTCTTTCTTAAGATTCTGAAGAAATATTCAGTAAATTACCTGCAGATCATCAAGTTTTTGTTCAATGTAGGTGAATTCGCTGACTATAAATGCCAACAAATATGTCGACATTTTTTCTGTGGGTGCGAATGTGGTTTTGGTTAAAGAAATGCCATCCTCTGTAACTGGAATCTCCTCTAAAGAAAGAAAAAGATAGTGAGTGATGAAACATTAACTTTCAAATTTGCTGGAGTCAGTTTGAAGATGTAAGGAAATTAATTGATTTAAGTTAATCTACACTGTAAAAATGCTGAGTTCCACTCAATTCCTTCAACACAAATTGGTTAAGTTAACTTAATTGTTTTTACAAATTGAAGTGGATTGAACATAAAACAATTAAGTTGTCCCCAAAAAAACGTAAGAATTCAACTCGTATTAAATAAGTAGTTTGAACAAGCTGCTAAAGTAATTTTAGCTGTTGTAATAACAAGCTGTTGATGCAACGAAATACTAACAAATGTTTGCTAACTCGCATCATTTTTTGTTTTAGTAAAATCAGATTTGTTCTAATGACGCTTAAGTCTTAACCACACATAGCATAGTAAAGTCAGATTTAATTTAGTAAATCTTGAACTTTGCTCTGTTTTAGTAATGTTGGAAGATCTGATTCATTGTGGTTAATCGGTTCTTGTTGGTAGTTCATTTAAATGAACAAGTTCACATAAATGATTCAGCAATTTGAGCCCATTGGTGTATTTTCTATTAAAGCACACTGTTTTTCGATTTATTCAATATAAATCCTGTTTAGATTTCATTCTCTAATTGAGATTTTGTATAACAAAAATGGTGTGATTGCACCACTGATCTATAATTGAAAAATTTTTTAAAGAACAACCTGTAACAAGTAGACAACCGGTAACAAGCAGAGCTGATGATAAACATAAAGTTTGACTAACAGTCAAAATGGTATAGCTACTTGTTAGATAAGGTTTTTATTTATTTATTTATTTTTGTGTGTGTGTGATCCTGGACCACAAAACCAGTCTTATATAGCTAATGTAATGTAATGTAATGTAATGACCAAAAATACCTTGCACACCCAACATGATCTTATGGCAATTCGTAACTTTTTGATTTAGTGGTCAATTCGTATGAATTCGTAAAATCTCATTCAAACAATGTAGTGTGATTTCGCTTATCCCCCAATGACGGTTGGGTTTAGGGGTGGGGTTGGGTGCCACACCTCCTTTTTAAAATCGCACATTTTTATACGACTGAACTCATGCAAATTTGTACGAATTAGCCACTAAACTGACAAAACATAAAATAATTGTTTATTCATGAGACCAGGCTGGTACACCAGTGGTTGCCAACCAGTCTATCAACCCGAGCTTTATCACTCTCCTTACAGATCCCAAAAATGACAGAAGAATAAGTACATTTGATCTAACTGCTGTTTTGATTTTCATTACGGTTAACTGCTGCAAACTTCTTTATACAGCTCTCTGCATGTCATTCTTCATGCTCAGAATAGTGGAGATAAGGCAAACACATACAATATCCACCAAGAACGGGAAGAGGGATTTGTTTGTATCATACTAAAAGATAAGTGTGTTTGAATATTGGGTAATGAACAACCAATTGTATAATGAAAAATCCATCAAGGTGCAGGATCACACAGAACGAGTTGCCACGCAATTCAATGCAAATGATGTTGTGTGCTTTTCTACTGAAGCAGCCGTTTGCTTTCCTATAACATTGTGAATTGGAGCTGCATGCAAAATATGATGCAAAACTGCAGTTTCAGTTGCAGAATTATGCTATAATGTTTGTTTTGGTATACTTTTTATAGTATTATTATTTTTAGTTATCTTTGCTTTATTTTTCTGTCAGATTTTTGATGAGTGGATCGTGCATTTCAGCAAAGCTGAAGTTAGGGATCTTAGGCTTAAAAAGGTTGTTGACCACTGTTTACTTAAAGAGTGGGTAAATGCATAGCCTTAAAATTGACAAGTTAACTTTACTGAATAAAGTGAGAAAAAAAAAGTGTCAAAATGCAGCTTAAAAGCGGCAAAATTTCTTTACATTAAAAAGTGAGTAAACGTTTAGCCCTAAAAGCAACACATTGACTTTACTTAAATATAGTGAGTAAACCCAATGTAACTTGGAACAGTTTTTCTAATTGTTCACATAGTTCATTTACTTAATAATTAAGGCAACAGCACTGTAAAAAAAATGGCCGTGATTTCAACGGTAAAAAACATGTAAAAATGCTACAGTACAAATCCGTAACATGGTTAACAGTATGTTTCCTTAATATAAATGGCAAATAACCATAAATTTACTTTCCCAGAATTCCCTGCATGGCACATAACTTTTTATGCATTTTGTTGACATTAATATGGATCTTTTTAGTTGTTTCCCCATCAGTTATGTACATTAGAGATTTATGTTACATTTAATGTTGATAAACAATGTTTATTTCAGGATTTTAATTTTATGCGTGTTACCATACTGGTGTTTAGTAGCTGTGTGAATGACACTGAGCACCTTCTATGTGCTGATACTCTTTTCTACTTGTGGGAAAAGTTGATTGTTATGAGCATTGGCTCATTTTGTAACTTCCTCATCATCACCTGCATGTGGGTGTGCTAACGTGTCTAACTGTGTAACAAAAGATGTGTAGACGTTGGTCATTCAAAATACAGACATATATAAATTAATAAAATACGGTAGTTTACCGTAAAAATTAGAAATTACTTATACGGTTTGTACCGTGTTTTTAACGGCAAAGTACTGGCAACCACAGCTGCCGTTTTTTTCCCGTAAATTTTACGGATTTATTTTTTACAGTGAGGTTTACTACATTTTTTAAGACAGTTTATCAATTTCACTAAGTAAATATTATGTTCCGTAAAGATATTTTGTCAACTGTAACTGCGCTTTCCTAAGACAAATTTAAAGGTGATTTTCTTAATGTTTGGATTTTATTGAACCCTCAGATTCCAGATGTTCGAATGGTTGTACAGTATCTCTGCCAACTATTTTTCCACACACAAAAAATTACGTTTCCTGTTTGTTTAAACTACTTATACAAAATAAGCTGAAACAACATCATTCTTGAGTTTTTTAAGGGTACAACATAATTTGTTTCATGATAAATCCACTTAAAATTGTAATAAAAAAATGAATTTGTTAATTTAATTTCTTCATGTTGTTCCGACTCTAATTGATTGCTTTTTTACTGTGTACATCTTAATAAACCATATACAAGAATGTAAATCTTATGTATTGATACAATTTAGTTTTTAAAAAATTACACTTATGACTGGTTTTGTGGTCCAGGGTCACAAAATATGATTTATCAATCTAGCTAGATTATTGTGTGTAAATTCACATACCGATCACAACGCCATTGGAGAGCGCGACAGTTCCTGGATCATGGAGAAGAACGATGTTGAACACGGCTTTCATTGCTGGTTCATCAAAGCAAGGAAATGCTTTTCTGGCATCCGTTGCCTGCATCTGAGTTGTGGCGACCACTCTGGAAGGAAAAAAAAATTCATATATAAAGATTTAACTAAATATAAGTGAACTTTAAGGATAGAGAGGGGCAAAACTTACTTGAGCACACCATTCTCATCATAATATTCACTCCGGTAAAAGCCACCCAAGTCATCAGAAAGCTCTCCCACGAATTCAGTGTAAAGCTCATAACTTTCCCCAGCAGTTAGTTCTCGATCCAGCCAAATCGCCATGTATTGGGTTTTTGGATGCATCTTAGTTGACACAATGTTAGGAGCTGGATTACCTCCGAGTGCTTTTAAAGTGGTCGAGTCTTTGATGGTCAGCTTATTGGAGTGAATGAGGATCAGATCTGTGTTTTCCACACATCTGAAGACCACACTTGACTCTCCCGTGAAGATGTAAAGTCCCTCAGCGTTCTTCTGGAGCCTCGGCCACAAGTTGACTTTGTAGGTTTCTGGACTGAGAGTTTGAGGAAGCCGCCATTGGTCCCATGGTTCATTGGATGGTGCTGTTGTTGGGACGTTTGTCGTCGCTGGAACATTTGTTGTCGGGCCCTTTGTTGTAGTCGTCTGTTGGTTCTCGATCTCGTTGTTTTTGGACTTCTCTTGGGAATAGACCACAGAAAGGGCGATGATTGTGGCCACCGCTCCTGCGCCTATCACAATCCCTACTATCCCGAGGGTTTTGCTAATGTAGAAACCCTTTCCCATGTTTCAGCAGTCACAGGACGAGGGGGAGTGGGATTGACATGTGCACAACTTTTTATTTAAAGCATAGGATGACTCTCCTCCCACTGGAATTAATGGCTCATCCATTATACGCAGGACAGATTCGGTGTACAAGAGGGAAGATCTGAGGCATTTATAATGTCATTAAAGCCACTGTAAATATGGCTATTAATTAACAGTTTCCCGTATTTTATTTATGCTTTTAAATTGCGTCATTAGAGCTTGATTTCTGGTTTCATGGATTTTGATGGGGAAAGATTCACTCTTTAACAAAGTGAGTTTTATTGACATGTTTGTAGTTAGAAACTACACAGTTCCCTATTTAGTGATTCACAAGTGTTTTCAGTTCATTTACGGTTGTGTATTGCATTTTGGGATGTGTTTTTGGATGCTCTGATGACTTTTAATGTTGAAAATTTAACTCTACAGTTTAACAAAGTGACTTTTATTGACATTTTAGTAGTTTGAAATCATGTATAAGAAACAATATATAGAGAAATAAGTCGATAAAATAACTGAAAATGTACTGGAAGTTTATTATAAGGTTTTTGTAGCGTAATATACAACACTAACCCAGACAATATATTCAATTTTCAGTTTATGTTTATTTCTATAGCCATTTTACAATGTAGATTGTGTCAAAGCAGCTTAACATAGAAGTTCTAGTAAATCAAAACTGTGTCAGTTCAGTTTTCAGAGTTGAAGTTCAGTTTAGTTCAGTTCAGTGTGGTTTACATTTCACTGCTGAAAGTCCAAACACTGAAGAGCAAAACCATCAATGCGCTGAAAAGTCCCAAACCAGGCAAGTCAGTGGCAATAATGACGGGGAACAAAACTTCACCAATTGACAAAAGTGAAGAAAAATAAACCTGGAGAGAAACCAGGCTCAGTTGGGGATGACTATTTCTCCTCTGGCCAAACTTCTTGTGCAGAGCTGCAGTCTAGCCTGCCGGAGGCTGGAGAACATCCAATGTATCACTTTAAACTATTAAAAAAGTTCTTAAAAGTGACTTTTTCAAACTTTTTTTTAAAGTTAGAAGTTGTTGGAAGAAAGATCAAGCTCCCATAATGCAATTTAAGAGCATAAATATAAGCATAGAAAATAAAAACATGACTTACAAAATACAGAAAACTGCTAATTTATGGATATTTTTTTACAGTATAAATAATATTGTTTGTGTGTGTGTGTGTGTGTGTGTGTGTGTGTGTGTGTGTGTGTGTGTGTGTGTGTGTGTGGTAACTCGTGTTCCTCATATTGTGGGGACCAAATGTCCCAAGTATAGCAATACCAGTCAATTTTGACCTTGTGGGGACATTTTTGGTCTCCATGAGGTAAAATACAGATTGCTTCTCGTGAGGGTTTAAGAAGGATGATAAAATTTATAGTTTGGTAACATTTTATTTTGATGGTCTATTTGAGTATTAGTAGACTGTCTGCTTAATATCTGCTGATACATTACAAAAGCATAAGTAGAAGACAATCACAAACAACTGTTAATTTGCATATTTTTATTATATTGAAATGCAGTACAGCCACATTTGTTTTTAAAAATATATCCAGAGTTATTGTTACTCTTACTTTTTTGTATCAGAAAAATCCATATGGCAATTTCGGCTTCATGACAAGAACAATCATGAGCATATTTTCCAAATTACACAATATATAGTGGATCAAACATGTTTATGGAAGATGTCTGAAACTATTAAATAACATTTATTCTTGTCTTAAGATATTTTTAATACACTTTATCCACTTCAAATGCTGTCTATATACACTGCAGTTAGAATTCTGCATTGCAAAAAAACACTTTTACTTTTTTTTTGTCTTGTTTCTAGTCCAAATATTTAGAAATTCTAAAATCAAGAAGCATTTTATAGACAAGCAAAACATATATTGTATTGTTTTAAGAAATAATATACTAAAATTAAATGAGTTTTTCCTTAAAACAAGCAAAATAATCTGCCAATGGTGTAGGCAAATTATTCTTATGTTAAAAGGAAAAATAAGATTATTTTGCTTACACCATTGACAAATTATTTTGCTTATTTTATTGAAAAACTCACTTAATTTCAGCATCTTATTTCTTAAAACAAGACTATATGTGTTGCTTGTCTAGAAAATGCTTTTTGATTTTAAGTTTCCACTACAAAATCTCATATGAAACTGTTGAGGTCAGACAAGTTCAGCGTTGTAATTCCATTCAAGCTCAATTTTATTTAGTGGCATAAACCAGTAGTACAAAAAAGACATTGTCCTCAGAAGCATCTGCTTGTAAAACTGCTGCCACAGACACATAATCACTAACATAACTGTTAAAGGATAACTGAGTATCTCTGTCATACAACTTTATAGTTTGAGCAAAAATACAGTTGAACTTTAGCTTAATTATGTTGTGTTTACCAGGAGCAAAAGACTGGATCAGTGACAAATGAACTTATTAAAAAAAATCTTCTCCTGGACTTTGAAGCTCACTTTACAAAAAGGGTGAAATAAATGATGAATTATACAAAGATATGGCCTTTGGATTATGTGTGCTTTTATGATGGAACATTGTACCAGAGATGACATTTATTATTTAGATTAGCATCTCAGAAAATGTCGACAGTAACTTTAACTGAGGCTTTCATTTGTAAATATATGACCGTAATGATTATCAGGTTTTACGGTATCTCTCCCTCATCATATTATTCCATATCAGTTAGAAAAGATGTTCGACAAAGAAACTGACTCTGTAAAACTCATCGTAGCTGTCGCAAACGCTTTAATATTATGCATTAATAATATGACATGTCATAATTTACCTGAAAAAGAATGTAATTTTTTTTTTTATTACAAAGAGCTACAGCATAATTTTTAATGCAAAACAAATTTCACTCTTCACCTTTTTATGAAAATTATTCGTTCATTCATTTTCCTTCAGCTTAGTCGCTTTATTCATAAGGGATCGCAACAGTGGAATGAACCGCCAACTTATCGAGCATATGTTTTACACAGCAGATGCCCTTCCGGCTACATCCCAGTACTGGGAAACATCTATACACTCGCATTCACACACATACACTACGGCCAGTTTAGTTTATTCAATTCACCTATACCACATGTCTTTGGACTGTGGGGAAAACCGGAGCACCTGGAGGAAACTCAACGGGAACACAGGGAGAACATGCAAACTCCACACAGAAATGCCAACTAAACCAGCCAGGACTCGAACCAGCGACCTTCTTGCTGTGAGGCGACAGTGCTAACCACTGAGACATCGTGTCGCCCCTATGAAAATCATCAATTCTTTAATTTAATTTTAAAATACTTTAAATAATTTTAATATTTGAATCTTGCATTTCAACATATTAAATTAAATTAATAATTAAAATAAATTTTTTGTACGTTTTGAGAATGAAAAAAATTTTTTTTTAAAACACTTTCATTATCTTCCAATATGTGATATGGGATGCGAAAATATGTAATCTCATTTGCATGAACATTATGTGCTCTATCTTTATGATCTAAAAGTCAGGCTCTATCTTAATGATCGCAAAGTCTTAAGTGAATGGTGCAAATGTGCTAAAAGCCTGTCTAAATCTACTCTTGCTATTTTAAGGATGGCAAAAAAAATGAAAAAAGCTCTTAGTGAATTATGGGTGTGTTTTGAGCATAACATGCATCAAACCAATTAGAATCTCATCTCCTATTTCTTTTAAGAGTCAGTTTGGCACATTTGCTGTTTACAGTGCGTCTGGAAAGTATTTATAGCACGTCACTTTTTCCGCATTTGTTTATGTTACAGCCTTATTGCAAAATGGATTCAATTCATTTATTTCCTCAAAATTCTACACACAATAGCCCATAATGACAATGTGAAAAAGATTTCTTGAAATTGTTGCAAATTTATTACAAATAAAAAACCTGAAAAATCACACGTACAGAAGTATCCATACAATTCATTCACACTTTATTGTATTTTCGCGGTAACTTACTGGCATCACTGTTGCCAGCAAAGTGTCACAACTGCCCCTACTTGTTTTACAGTAGTAGGGCCCTACCGCAATTAGATTTTTTACAGTAAAATAGCCTTACCGCAACTACTTTTTATAGTAAAATGACCTTTAACCCATTTTAATTTTACAGCATGACAATTTTCACACTAGATTTACTGTAATATATTTACATTTTACACTAGCAGTGCAAAATCTTTATTTGTAGTATTTACTATTCATTCATTTCATTTTTGTTTTCGACCTAGTCCCTTTATTAATCTGAGGTCGCTACAGAGGAATGAACCGCCAACTTATCCAGCACGTTTCACACAGCAGATGCCCTTCCAGCTGCAACCCATCACTGAGAAACATCCATACACACTCTTTCACACACATACACTACGGACAATTAAGCTTACCCAATTCACCTATTGACCTTATTCTAAAATGCAGAAGTATGCCTGTTTTCGCGATTGTCTTAGAACTTCCGTTTCAGTCGCCTATGGGAGAAATGACAAGGAATAATAAACGGCAAAAAACGGTCAAACTACTTGCTCTACAAACAAATGTTTGCATGACTATACAGACCAAGTAGAATAATATAACAAGGAAATATAAGTTTGCAACATCAAACAGCGAAACGAGCAGTTTTTAATGTCTAAAAATGAATGGAAGTGAATGAGACCGGAAGTCTCGTGCCAAAAAGATTCAAATGGCAGCGCCCGCTCGTCTACGGAGAATAAGGTCAATAAGACATTTCTTTAGACTGTTGGGGAAACTGGAGTACCTGAAGGAAACCCACGTGAACGCGGGGAGAACATGCAAACTCCACACAGAAATGCCAACTGACCCAGCCGAGGCTCGAACCAGCGGCCTTCTTGCTGTGAGGCGAGAGCACTACCTACTGCGCCACTGTGTCGCCATACTTCATTTATTTTCTTGTCGGCTTAGTCCCTTTATTAATCCGGGGTCGCCACCGCCATACTTACTATTGAATTTAATAAATTCCCACCAAGCCACCAATTTTTAAATCAACTGTCTCCTATTTGTCTTCAACTACAGTAGCAGCACTTGATTACTTTGATTACAGTAGAATACCGCGTATTCCTAATATGCAGTAAGTTACTGTAAGTTTTAATGTTCCACAATGCACTGCATATTACAGTAGTGAACTGTAAAGGATGTATCTAGTATTTTACTAAGTGTTTTTGCAGTAAATAACTGTAAAATCACAACAAAGTCTTACAGTCCCAACACAAACTGATTAATTTAACGTAACAATTTAATTGGATTGAACTTAAAACTATTAAGTTGTCCCCAATAAAATCAAGAATTCTTCAGCTGCTTTTAAATAAGTAATTATTTAAAATAAACAAGCAGCAAACCTTTTTATTTTTATTTTTTATTTGAGTGAATGCAACAAAAAAGTCAGTGTTCCCTGAGTCACTTCGCTCTGATGACTTCAGATGTCATCTGATGGCTCTTGACCTTTGATATCTGCTATCTTCAAGATAACACTATGATATCATAGATTTCCAGATATGGTATCGTTTTTTTTCGGTTGTGTGAGGTAAATGTTATCATTTGAACTCCTTGTTTTTTTCAACTCGCCTTTAAGGACCTCCTTTTTTAAATGCAATAAAGCTGATTTTATAACACTGCACAGTCACGGTGAAACTGCAGTGATTTGTCCAAAATATGCTGACATACTGTTACACAAAACAGATCTGTCCTATGATTATCTGTTTTTAAGTGCACAAAATCGTAATCAGAACATGACGCTGCAGATTCTTTGAGATAATAAAATGTTTACGATTAAATGTTGAGGTGCAAAATGACAAGGAACCAATGAAATGGAGAATGTCAGGTAAACATGCAATACTGCTATAATGGAATTTAAACCAAATACTTTTTTATAAAGCAATTAAACATTTCTCATAAAACATCTAAAGCAAGCATCATTCATGGTTGCGATTTATTAACCCACATAATGGATTGAAGGTTACATATTCATATTCATTATGCTCAGCATATATAAGTACATAAATCTCTCTTTTAAATTCATAGTTTTAATAGGAAGCTATACTATATTATATCTGTGCGTATACAGTAGATTAGTCAGTACTGCAGACAAATCTGGAGCTTATCTAACAAAATAACTTACAATAACAGTCTAAAAACTAGTACAGCCAAATTTATATTTTATAGAAAAACATTAAATATAAATTAAAAAAGAGAAGCAAAAAAAATCGAAAGATTTATTTATTTATTTATTGATGGTTGTAATATTTTTTTCAATATTTTGCTTGAGTTTAATTGTCTTTTCTTTCAATTTCTAAATATGTTTGTTGACTAAAATATAATTTTAATAAAATTATCTGTTTAATAAATCTGTTTTGTTTAAATGCACCAAAACACCCAGAGGAACCCCAAGTGAACACAGGGAGAACATGCAAACCTTATGAAAAATATATATAGATAAAGTCAGAATTATTAGCTCCCCTGAATTATTAGCCCCCCTTTTTATTTTTCCCCCAATTTCTGTTTAACGGAGAGGTTTTTTTTAACACATTTTTAATCATATTAGTTTTAATAACTCATTTCTAATAACTGATTTATTTCATCTTTGCCATGATGACAGTAAATAATATTTGACTAGATATTTTTAAGACACTTTTATACAGCTTAAATTCACTTTTAAATGTTTAACTAGGTTAATTAGGTTAACTAGGCAGGTTAGGGTAATTAGGCAAGTTATTTTATAACAATAGTTTATTCTGTAGACTATTGAAAAACAAATTAACTTAAAGGGGCTGATAATTTTACCCTTAAAATGGTGTTTACAAAATTAAAAACTGCCTTTATTCTAGTCAAAATAAAATAAAAAAGACTTTCTCCAGAAGAAAAAATATTATCAGTCATACTGTGAAAAATTCTTTGCTCTGTTAAACATTATTTAGGAAATATTGAAGAAGAAAAAAAAAATTAAAGGAGGGCTAATAATTCTGACTTCGACTTAATATATTTATAAAATCAAGTTTTATACTATTCAATTTATATATATTTTTTGATACAAATATTGCTTAATAGATAAAAAAAATCCAAGTAAATAGCTACACAGTTTAATACGTACACGTCTAAAATTATCTGAATACAAGATGGTGACCTATTTAAAAGTAAAAATTGTGAGGGGGGAAAATTCTGAAAATACATAAAACAAACAAAGAATGTACATTTTAAAGCCTACAGTCAAATTTCAATCCCTCAGTTAAAATATGCAGCTCTTTATTCAGGGTTTCTGTAGGTTTCACTAAGTTAGATTTAAGACTTTAAAGACATTTTTAAGACCCTTATGAATGAAATTTTAGACTTATAAAGGGCTTTTTCAAAAGCCCTAGATGAAAAAGACTTTTAAGAATTGCTCTATCAAAAAATATTGTTATAATTTAATACATTTAATAATACAATAATATATTAATAATTAAAAAATAATTTAGATAATTTTTAGTAAAATATTTTAAACATTGTGTAAAAACAGGCAAGCTCTAGTTGTAAACATGCACTTCTTTCCAACAAAAACTTTCTTGTTTTATAATGTTTAAAATGTTTTAACTAAATCTGTGCACAACAATCTGTCCAGGTCGGTGTCCTCCTCAGCAGTAAATACATGGAGAACTTGTAACGGTAAGGAAAATAATTAAACCATTATGATAGAGTAAAAAAAATTTATTGAGATGGATTGTTGGTGATTGTATGAGTTTTGGCCAGATTGGGTAGCGATACATGAACAAAAGAAAATTAAGACCATTTTAAAAAGATGTAAGACCTACAACACAATATTTCAGTACATTTAAGTCTTTTTAAGCCTAAAATTTGGATTTGAAGATTTAAGAAATTTTAAGACCCCGCTGAAACCCTGATATTTTTAAATCATTATCTTCTGGGTTACAGTACACTGAAATGCTTTATGGGACTAAATGAATTAGAAAACCAATTTTATTTAACTAAATTGGAAAATTTTTAAAAGACACAAATGATATTTCTGGACAAAATCAATTTTAATGTAACAGTAACATTTAATATAAATTATTAATGTGTAACATTTACCACTTTTATAATTGGTCTAAAGCTGGCAAAAAACACATGTTAGAACTTTACAGCATCACAGACAAAATACAAAACAACACTTTAAACAAAACGGGAAACACGGTTCTGAAATGAAAGATATGTTGTGAATGATTGGACCCTGTAGTGCTTTGGACTCAAATGAATGTCAGTAATGGCAAGAGGGAGACGGCATCTATGGCAATTACTGATAACACATAATAAAAAAAAACAACAACAACAGAAAAACACATGGATCAGACGAGCCGACTTAAAACGGGGAGAGACTGGGCACTTTTATATTAATGTCCCCGATATTGATGTTCCGGGGGATTTCAGGAAGATTCATGTTTTTGACTGCAGAAACGGCTCGTGCTGGTGCTGCAGACAGACCACCCTGCAGAAAAGCACACAAATATTAAAACACAGAAACAAATGAATAAAAGCATTGAATGGATCATTTAAATAGGAGTTGTTTTTCTAATTTTATCTTGGCCCAAGATGATTGGATTTTTTAAAAATATTTTCCATTCATGAGTTTATCAAAAAAATAATTTCCTGTTTTTTATTATTATTATTTAAAAAACTATTATAAACTATTGTACTCATAGTATCAATTTTAATCTATTTTAATATTTAATAAATAAATATTTTTTTCTGATTCAATGTTTATTTATGAATAAATATTGATTTCTGCACCATAAAACCGGTCATAAATGCTTTATACATTATCTGAAAGCTGATAATTAATAATAATAATAATAACAATAATAATAATAATAGGTCCAAAATTAAGTTTTAGTTTTTACATAAAATATAAGTATTCAACACATCGTGTTTTTTTCCTGGGAATAATATTTCTAAAGAAGCTGTTGACATGGAGTGGAACCAGATTTATGTAAAAACCCAAACAATACAAACATAAAAATAAAACAAAACAAAATAAATGGGTTATGTTTAGTAACAAATGGGATTCTGTGGGTCTCGTCTATAAAATCTGATCTTTATTTTGTATTTTCTATCGGATCCAAGTCAGGTGATTGGCTGGGCCACTCTACAGCTTGATTTTTTTTCTCTGAAAGCATTTAAGAGTTTCCTTGGCTGTGTATTGGATCATTGTCTTGCTGAAATCATTGTTCATCTTCATCATTCTGATCATTTAGATCAGGGGTCACCAAAGTTGTTCCTGGAGGGCCGGTGTCCTGCAGATTTTATCTCCAACCCTAATCAAACACACCTGAACAAGCTAATCAAGGTCTTACTAGGTATACCTGAAACACCCAGGCAGGTGTGTTGAGGCAAGTTGGAGCTAAACCCTGCAGGGACACCGGCCCTCCTGGATCGAGATTGGTGACTCCTGATTTAGATGTTGGACTGAAGCAGCTAATATTCATTTACAATGACAAAGGGTTGCTGAAGAACTACTTAAATTTCAGATTTTTTTTCTTTGCATATATGTATTTCTTTGGTTGTTTTCAACATTCAGTAAAAAATAAGCAACACCTTTAAAAAAATAATAAATAAAATTCTGAGAAAAATGGTGACGTGTTCAATATTGCTGTATTTACAATTGGAATTTTAAAAGATATCTTCATAGTGGATGATCTTTACGTATAGTCTTATGATTTTTGGCATAAAAGAAAAATCTAGCTTTTGGTTATTGCTAAAAATATACCCATCTAACATAAGAGAAGTTCCAGGATCATGTACAGTTGAACTCTGTACGACTTTCTGAGGTCGTTAAAAATCCCAGGATGTCCTTTCGAAAAAGAGTAGGGGTTTAACCGGCACTTGACTGGCATCCTGGCCAAATCTGCCCACAGGCCTCTTTCCATCACAGCCTCCTAACCCTCCCCATATGATAATTGGCTTCATTACTCTCTCCTCTCCACCAATCAGCTGGTGTGTGGTGTGCGGTCTGGCGCAATAGGCTGCTGTCACGTCATCCAGGTGGATGCTGCACACTGATGAGGAGATCCACCCCATTGTGTAAAGCGCTTTTAGTGCCCAGAAAAGCGCTATATAAATGTAATGAATTATTATTATTAATATTATTATTATTATCATTATTATTATTATGTTTAATACCAATTTCTGAATGCTTTCAACTTCTCTGCTAACCAAAATGTTTATTAATAAACTCAAAAATCTTTTTTTTTTCCTTCTTAAACTTATACTATTAGCGCACATGCTCTAAACTGTTTTATATACCCCAGAGAAAAAAAAGTGTTGCGTCCATAATTAAATAAAAAAAAATACAAAAATCCTTTCCTCTCAGTGCAGTAGAAACTTTAGGGCTAAACCTGGTCCAAAACAAGGATGTAAAAATGTAAACAAATTGTAATCACGTTAATATATATATATATATTTATCTTATATGTAAGATTGCATTATATTTAGATTTTTTCATCACATATATTTTTATCAGTGCAAACAAAAAACTAACCTGACCAGGCCTGCTCTCAACAGATCTTTTCTTTAATATTGCCCTGTGTGACATTTCCTCACTGTGACTGCCTCTACCATACACATGTTAAGAGTACATCTAGTGTTGTCAAACATTACTGATCACCTCTAATCCAGATAGGATATCATGTGACAGTCAATCACTGATAGCAGCACAGACACCTTTCACCATTATATGAAGTACTGATACGGTCAAAAGATATGCAGGAAAAAGAAAATGATACTCATCAAAACTAATGTGAACATTACCAAGCCTCTGCTCTGTGTATTTTTACTATTCAACCATGTTAAATATGAGCAGATACAGTTAAAAATGTAAAATATTATCCCTTCTGTGATTTTTTTCTTCTTGTAATATTTCCTAAATGATGTTCAACAGAGCAAGGACATTTTCACAGTATGTCTGATAATATTTATTTCTTCTGGAGAAAGTCTTGTTTGCTTTATTTCAGCTAGAATGAAAGTGTTTTTTTTTTTACTATTTTAAGGTGAATATTATTAGCCCCCTTAAGCAATATATTTTTTTAATTGTCCATAGAACAAACCATCTTTATACAATGATTTGCCTAATTACTCTAACCTGCCTAATTAACATAATTACGCCTTTGTATGTCACTTTAAGCTGAATACTAGTATTTTAAATTTTCTAGTAAAACATTATTTACTGTCATCATGGCAAAGATAAAAGAAATCGGTTATTAGAAATGAGTTACTAAAACTATTATATTTAGAAATGTGTTGAAAAAATCTTGGGAAATTGGGAAAAAAATATATACAGGAGGGCTAATAATTAGACTTCAACTGAACGTTTTGCATTAAACTATAAAACCAACCCTGCGTGTCTAATGCTGTGTTCACACCAGACACGGTACGCGTGGATAAATTGCGATATTCGCGTGTGAACATTTTGAGTATAATCGCTTCATTCACGATGATGGAAGCTTTCATCTGTGCTGTCGACTGAGCCGATCCCAGTTTGATCAACTGTTGTCCGGTGTCGGCTGGAGGATTTCCCCCCGGGACACCAAGAACAGGCGCCATGTCATAAGCACACCCCTACAAGAGAAAGCTCCTGATTGGTTAACGTGGCACGAATGTTTGCTGAAGTTCAGATTTTCGAACTTGAGCGATTTGCACGAAACGCGCATTAAGCACGTCAATCGACTTTTGAATTTGACTTAACATGTAAATCAGTCGCGCTTGAAGCTTCTTTCGCGTCTGGTGTGAACGCAGCGTAAAACTTCTAATAAACCGAACTAGTGGCATCTGAGTGACTCCAGATGGTTTGGCCTAAATGTGAACTTGCCTCTGATTTCTCCATTCTGTTCTGAAGCTCCACTTGAGCAACGATTTCATTCATATTCGTTTCCAGAACCATCCCACCCATCACGACTTCCTGGAGAATATAATGGACCTGGAATGAACAAACAAAAAACGTAAACATTTGAAAGAATCAGATCTGCCTTTTGTTTCTTGACATTAGCTTAAAGGGATAGTTCAGAAATCTAAAGGGCTAGCCCAAAAATATAAATCCTGCCATCACTTCTTGACTCTTCTGTTGTTCATTTGAGTTTCTTTCTTCTGTTGAACACAAAAGAAAATATTCTGAAAAAATGTTGGTAGCTGGCACATATTGATGTCCAGTCATTTTTTCCTACACTTTAAAAAATTGGATGACAAGACAACAAATATGTTTATGTTGCTTTGAATTATTTTAATATGTTTCTTGTTTCAACTAAATGTTTACAAAGTTGTACAAAGTTTAACTTAAAGTTCTTGATCAGTTTGATTGTTGAAAGTTGAGATGAGTAGAAAAGTTCATTTGGTTCACATGAAAAAGTTAAAAGTTTTTTTTACAATGTACGACAACACAGCAAACAAACAAAAAGTTGACCTAACTTAAAATTATAAGGAAACGTGTTGCACAGCTTTTTTGAGTTGACTCAACTTTTAACCTAAGTACTGTAGTTGACTAGATTTAAGTTGAATCAACTCTAAAAGTCATCATCAAGTTGCCCTACAATTTCAAGTTGGGTCAAAGTTGTTTTTTACAGTGAAGTCTATGGGTGCCTGCTATCTGCACTCTTCAAAATATCAACTCAGCTTTTTTGAGTCGACTCAACTTTTAACCCAAATACTGTAGTTGACTATATTTGTTGAAACAACTAAAAAAAAGTCATCATTAGGTTGCCTTAAAATTAAGCTGAGTCAATGTTGTTTTTACAGTGAAATCAATGGGGGCCAGCAACTAGCATTCTTCAAAATATCAACTCAGCTTTTTTGAGTCGACTCAACTTTTAACCCAAATACTGTAGTTGACTATATTTAAGTTGAATCAACTCTAAAAATCATCATCAAGCTGCCCTACAATTTCAAGTTGGGTCAATGTTGTTTTTTTTTTTTTTTACAGTGAAGTCAATGGGTGCCAGCTACCTGCACTCTTCAAAATATCAACTTAGCTGGTTTAAGTTGACTCAACTTTTAACTCAAATACTGTAGTTGACTATATTTAAGTTGAATTAACTAAAAAAAAGTTGTCATCACGTTGCTTTAAAATTAAGTTGCGTCAATGTTGTTTTTTTACAGTGAAGTCAATGGGTGCCAGCAACCAGCATTCTTCAAAATATAAAATTTTAACCCAAGTACTGTACTTGAGTAGATTTAAGTTGAATCAACTAAAAAATTGTCTTTAAGTTGCCTTAAAAGTTAAGTTGAGTCAATGTTGTTGTTTTTTACAGTGAAATCAATAGGTGCCAGTAGCTAGCATTCTTCAAAATATCAATTTAGCTTTTTTGAGTTGACTCAACTTTTAACGCAAGTATTGTAGTTGACTATATTTAAGCTGAATCGATAAAAAAAGTCATCATCAAGTTGCCTTAAAATTTTAAGTCAATGTTGTTGTTTTTACAGTGTAGTCAACAGGTGCCAGCATTCTTCAAAATATCTTCTTATGTGCTCAACAGAAGAAAGAAACTCAACACGAGAGAATAAATGATGAGGTCATTTTCATTTTTTGGCAACTCTAACATAACATGTTTCATGTCGAGTATCGAAAAAACAAATGTGTCCAGTTACCGTAAAAAGCCATTGGTTATCATTTTCCACGTCATTCCTTCCACTCATAAAACAATAATTCTGATTAGATAACCAACAAAGGCAGTGTAGCGTACACTTCTATCAGCGTATATGTTTTATGACGGTGCCATAATCCAACAGGCCATTATCAGAAAGGATATTCCGACCTGTATTTCAACTGATGAATTATGATCACCCCGATTATTCTTACCCTGAATGAAATTTAACAGCACGTTTAAGATGTAAAACCTGTTCAAATGTTTCATAATTCTCTATAAATAACAATAACAATAAAACTGACCTTATCCATGTGGAAGATTAAGTCCAGTTCGCACACATTCTCAAAGCATTTATCCAGGGTCTCCACAAAGACCTGTATTATTATGATAAAAATACATAAGTGTGAACCACAACAACATGCTCTTTCACACTCACGCAACATTTCAGAATGTCATCTGAATTTAAATCATAAAGGAGCAAATCAACTACTAATGCTAATAAAGAATTAAGATGCGGCATGACAAAGCTATGCTGCCATGATTACAAGGTTGGGTAGCCTTAATAAGGTAAAGTTCACACTAATTATTTCTGTCAATCAATGATTGCGCTAAAACAAAGGTATATATTAAAGTGTCCCATTATGCTTTCTTGATGCTGGCACACTATCATTTGTTTAATGTGCAACTGTGAAAGTTGCATAATAAATTAGGTTATTGTTTCCCAAAAGAAAAGATGAATTATCTGGAATTTCTACTTTATGAGGGGAAAAAAATATTTTTTGAACTTGCATGGATGTAAAATTACATTTACAATTCAGTCCGTTGATTTATTGCGATCCTAGAATTTAATGCAAAAAGACAAGCAAATTCCACACAATTTTTTCTCAAATTTCTGCACATTACTAGCAGAGTTTGGACAGATTTGTGAATCATGTGGCTTTGATCGCATCTCACATTCAACCAGAGCCCAATTGAAGCAGGCTGTGCGTGTTTGATCAATTACTAAAACTCAATAAGTTGCTATTTGTGTACTCATAGACTATGTTTACATTGTAATAGTCATGTAAGTACTTGGCACTTTTCTAATTCTTGCATATATATATATATATATATATATATATATATATATATATATATATATATATAATTGCTGCACATTCTGAGAAAACACCATTGAAATCAGTTATTTTACGCTGCAAAAAAATTTGAAAATAGCATTATGGGGTACTTTTAAAAAAATTGTTTTTTTCTAACAGAGTTTTCTCTTCCTGCATATAAATAAATAAAAGGTTTTACAAGATATGAATATTATCAAAGCACAACGACTCAAGAAATGCTGCAAATTCTAAGAATAACACCATTTAATCAGTCATTTTGTGCTACAAAATAATCTAAAAATATCATAACACAGGCACTTTTCTCATTTTATTTTTCTTCTGGTTCCTTTCCTTGCATATAAATAAATAAAATAAGGTTTTACATGATGTAAATATTGCCAAAGCATAACGACTTAAGAAATGCTGAAAATGCTGAGAAACACACTATTGAATCAGTCATTCTAGACAGCAAAAATAATCTGAAAATAAGATAATGGGGCACTTTTCTCATTATTTTTTCCCAGACTTTCCTCTTCTTGATTATAAATAAACAAATATATAAATAAGGTTTTACAAGATGTGAATATTGTCAAAGCCTAATAACTAAATACAAAAAATTCTGAGAAAAACACCATTGAATCAGTCATTTTATGCTGCAAAAAATAGCATAGCAGGGGCATTTTTCTCCTTTTTTCTCAGCGTTTTTTCTTTTTGCACATTTGCATATTTTAAATATATAAAAATAAGGTTTTACATGATGTAAATATTTTCAAAGCATAAAAATGTAAGAAATGCTGCAAAATATGAGAAAAACACCATTAAATCAGTCATTTTATGCTGCAAGAACTCTAAAAATAACATAATGGAGCACTTTTCTCATATTGCTTTTATCAGTGTTCTCTTCTTCTTGCATATAAATAAAGGTTTTACTGGATGTGAATATTGTCAAAAGCATAACAACTCAACAAAAACTGCCATTTCTGAGAAAAACAGTCATTTTACACTGCAAAAAAATCTTTAAAAAAAATCTTAATATAAATAAATAAAAAATAATAAATAAATAAAAATCTTAATATAAATTTAAAAAAATAAAGTTTTACAAGATGTAAATATTTTCAAACCATAAAAACTAAGGAAATGCTACAAATTCTGAGAAAACATTGAATCAGTCATTGTATGCCACAAAAAAAAACTGAAATAGCATAATAGGGGCACTTTAAAAATGCAATATAACTTGGATGCAAAATGGAAACATAAAATGCCCTCGTGTGGCTATAAGCTGTGTGCACTACTGCAGTTACGTTCACCTGTATAAGATCGAGAATCCCCAGCTCGCTCTCTGACGAGTCCACGCAAAACACAAAATACAGAGTGGCATAGTGTCTGTAGATCAGCTTGTAGTCAGAGCCGCCGATCAAACTAAAATGAAGGAGCAAAGCTTCAGTAACTGACTCTCATACAATCCTGAGTATTGATATGTGCAAGATTATTATGCAAAAGCCTCTCCATCACCTTCCACCTTCCAGAAAGTTGCAGACATTATCATCTCTTTTGGATACCAGATGAAAGGTCTCCCTGATGATCTGCTGCTGCATGTCTTCAGCCTGTGAAAAGAACATACCTTCCTTCAGTTTCTTTGTGGCTTAGTCACCATATTCAACAGGGGTCACCACAGCCGAATGAACCGCCAACTCATCCACCATATGTTTTACACAATGGAAGCCTTTCCAGCTGCAACCCAGTACTGGGAAATACACATGCACACACATACACTATGGCCAATTTAGTTTATTCAATTCACCTATAGCCAGGGTATTTGCAGGGTCTTAAAAAGTCTTAAAATTTCTTAAATCTCAAAAGCAAAATTTTACGCCTTAAAAAGTCTTACATCTACTAAAATGTTGTGTTGTAGGACTTAAATCTTTTTTTAACAGGTCTAATTTTTCCTTTTTTTATGTATAACTACCCAATCTGGCCATTAACTCCCATACAATCTCAATAAATCTTTTAACTTTTTCTTACAGTGGCATTTGCTTTAAAGCTCTCTATTTATTCACTGCTGATGATACTGACCTCACCTATTATTAAATCATGTTTATTGTAGACTGAAGTAATTTACAGCTATGTTTTGTTCTATTCTTGTTATGGGTTATATAATTTGTGAATGAGTATATTTGAAAATTACTTAAATTATATAAACAAAAATTCTCATATTATTAAATTTGTATAAATTTTGATAGGGTAAGCAATTTTCCACCTGGGATGTTCGAAAAAAAAATCTTTAGCATTTAGCCCTGTATTTAAGTCAAAAATTTCATTCATAAAGGTGTTAAAAATGTCTTTAAAAGTCATAAATTTAACTTGGTGAAACCTGCAGAAACCCTGATAGCGCATATCTTTGAACTGCACCCGGTGGAAACCCACGCGGACATGGAGAGAACATGCAAACTCCACATAGAAATGCCAACTGACTCATCCGGGGCTCGAACCAGCAACCTTCTTGTTATAAGGCGACAATGCTAACCACTGAGCCACCATTAATTATATTAGCATATTCTGGCTTCTCATATTATTATACATTGATAAACATATGCTTAGCAGTAAATTAAACACATAAAACCGCAATGTGATTTATATAGATTTAGATTAGGTAATAATTGAGGTAAAGTTTGATTTATATTCGCACATTTGTACTTTCTCTTTAATAATATTATTTCAGAATAGTATTATTAACAAATTTAAAATGGAGATATCATTTTAGCAGCCAATGACTGTCAACATTGTTCAACATTCACTGATCAGTCAGTGAAATAGTGCTAATGCTAATGTTCAGACCCAATATTCAAAGTAGCGTGGTAAACAATACAGAGACGGTTAAATGAACGAATGTGCAAAAATAAAATGAACTTTACCTCAAATATAAATTTTGTGGATGATATAATATACATATACTTGCATTAAATATATTTAAATCCTAATGAGTGAATACATTTCCAAAAAGCAGCTGTGACAACTATGAAGTAAGTCATTTTTACTCACTACAAAACGGTACACTGATATTATACATGTATGTTCAACTATAGACTGTTTATACATCTATATTAATTATAAATCAGAGTTTATTATCAATGGTAAAGACGGGGAGTAACGTTACTGTTAACTGGTAAATGCGGTTTCGCGCGTTTCTTACAAAATATTGGTAGAATCTGATGAGCCGGGGTTTCCCATGGTTGTTGAAAATAAGAATAGCCTTGATCATCGTTGCTTGATGCTTATTTTTGTGTGTGGTTCTTCAGCGAAGCGTCTGCTTGTCAATACAAACGACTGGATGTAGTTCCGTGTCTCGTGACTTTTTTTCCAGTATAAAAGTCCTTGGAATTAAAGCTCCAGGGTGGAAAATTTACATGCAGAGTTTGCTTTTTTGTCATTTAAGCGCTTTAAAATGATTATTATAGATATTTTACGTTATATTTTTGTCAAGTATATATTTCAAAAATATGATTATTTTGTGGTAGGTAATGTAAATGTCCCCGTTTATTTATTTTTTTACATTTTGTACATATAAACACTCTTTTCTCATTTTATTTTTATCAGTTTTCTTTTATTGCATATGAATAAATCAAAATAAGGTTTTACGAGATGTATATATTTTTAAAGCATAAAAACTGAAGCAATGCAGCAAATTCTGAAAAGAAAACACCATTGTCTCAGTCACTTTATGCTGCAAGAAATCTGAAAATAGCATAGTAGAGGCACTTTACTCATTTTGTTTTTCTCAGAGTTTTCTTTTTTTGCGTATAAATAAATAAAAAAAAGGTTTTACATGATGTAAATATTGTCAAAGCCTCACAACTTTAAAAAATGTTGAAAATTCTGAGAAAAACAATGAAATCAGTCATTTTAAACCACAAATAATCTGAAAGTAGCATAATAGAGGCACTTTTCTCATTTTGTTTTTCTTCTGTTTCCTTTTCTTGCATATAAATGAATAAATAAATGCTTTACAAGATGTGAATACTGTCAAAGTCTAACAACTCAAAAAAAACTGCAAATCCTGAAAAAGATAACATCAAATCAGTCATTTTACAACGCAAAAAAATCTGAAAATAGCATAGAAGCACTTCTTGTTTTTTTCTCAGTGTTTCTTTTTGCATACATAAATAAATAAAAATAAATTATGTAAATCATTTAAAAGCATAAAAACTAAAGAAATACTGCAAATCCTGAGGAAAAACACCTTTAATCGGTCCTTTTATGCTTGAAGAAATCTGAAAATGGCATAAATAGAGTTTGATTACTTTGCCATTTAAGTACTTCGAAATAAATATTATAATTTAACGTTATGTTTATTGTTTATGTTACATTTTTGTCAAGTATATTTCATATATATGATGATATTGTGATAAGTAATATAAAAATATCCCTGTTTAATTTTTTAACATTTTGTACATATATACTATATACACACACACCCACAGTACCCCCACCCACCCCACTGACAAAGGTCCAGTATTTGTCCAATGCATAAGCTCATTTGTCCAATGACTGTTATACCATCATAAATTATCAAAATAACCCATCAAAATGGCGGAATCTGATGCAAGTCAACTTTCACTGCATTTTTGTTATAGGGAAAACATTTTATAAGTAACTTGTAATCTAAATCTTGGACCTTAATCTCGTTGTGAAGTTGTGAAGCACCGAAATCGACCCATATTATTACTTATTAGACTGTTGTTGTTCTCCATGAATTTTCAAATGTACTTTATTTTTACAAGAAGACAGAGAAAAGCTGAACGACCAATTTATTATTTGCCAATTAAATGACAATAGGCCACAGTTTCAAATGTAAAACTTTAACAGATTGATATTTTCAGTATGTGATATATCATAAAGTAGCCTTAAAATAAGTAGCCTCTTCTTCATGTTTCTTCATGTACAACAAAAAGTGTCCATTCGACAAGCTAATCCAGCAAAAAAAAAAGTGATTAAAATCTCTCTAAAATGCAGAATTTAAACCACATAATTAAATTAAAATAAGTCGAATGGTCCAGTTTTTGAGAAAAAAACCCTTTCACTAGGCTGGCTACAGTCCTGTATATGTTTATATATATATATATATATATATATATATATATATATATATATATATATATATATATATATATATATATATATATATATATATATATATATATATATATACGTAACTTATATGTTCACAAGTAAAGTCTTCACTTTCGTTGTAGGCTAAATTATTTATAAAACCTTCTATTAACGATATTTAAGAAACTGCCAATGCAGTGATAATATAATCAACAACTAAATGTAGCTTAATTAGCCGTTAATTAATTTAAGATCCAATCAAAACTCAAATCAAACGTGAAATGTATGAGCCGAGGACTTTTATTTTGACGCACTCGCGGACGCGGCGTGACCCGGAAATCCTGTATTTCCTCTTGTCGCATCACCCGTGTATCTTGTCTGTCAGCAAGCTGTTTCTTACATAAACTATTCGATTGAAAATATGAAACACTTGACAGGGGAGTGACAATAAACCGCCGCCGCATTGAAGAATGAGATGCTGTTTTGTCGCTCGTGTTCGTAAACCGCAATAAAGAAGAGGGTTCTGGAAACGCTGCTGTTTACATCGAGACTAACACATTTATTTTGCTTCAGTTGGTAAGTGCATCCTCGTTAACCTATTGTGTGTTCGACAGGATTAGGACATATGTTTGTTTTCTGATTTCTTCGTGATAATATATTTATTCTTCAAACTATTCCAGTCAAATTGTATATTTTAATTGTGATAAGGGTGTGTCTGAGGGGAAAAAATACAGATTCAGATGCAAGTCAGTTAGAAGACACATGTTCCTTTGTAAAGGGCAAACAATGATGTCGTTTGTTTTCACATTCCTAAATTAACTGCCCCGTATTACCTTAGAATAGGCTCTTAAAAAGTTCATAACCATAATATTAAACACACGAGCATTTTGAGTGTGCTTTTACATAATGCAATTGAATGTTAACCTTTACACTCAAAAATAGCATATTAAGTTTAGCAACTTTATTAATCACACCAGGGGCTTTTAAATTAGGGCAGTAGTATCGTGATACAGCAGATACATAAAGAGACAAATCACTTACAAACCATATTTAAAAACACAACCCAGCATGCTTCATAATAACTTCATAAATAGTTAAAAAAAGTTCACAGGAAGGACTCGTATATTAAACATTTAAAACTTGCTAAAATGTAAGGTTATAGAGCCTTATTGCCTCTGGAACAAAGGTGATTATATATTTGTTACACTATAAAACCCAACAGTCAAGTTTATCAAATGAAATGAATGTAGTTAACTCAAAATTGACAAAGTTAATTCTACTCATTTGAAAAGAGTTTTGAACTCAGTGCTGAAGGTAATGAGTTTATTAAATACCTCATTACTAGGACCAGACAGAATCTGCTGACATTTTTTTGCTATTTCTGCAAAGAATTTTGTAAAAAAAAATCTGCGGAATTATTTTGGGGGATCGTAACTATAAATAAATAAAATAAAAATAATACTTTTTTTAACTTTCATTTAATGTTTACAATTCAAATCCATCTAGATCAGTGATGTCAAACTTAATTCCTGGAGGGCCATAGCCCTGCACAGTGTAGTTCCAACCCTGCTCCAACACATTTACCTGTAGGTTTTATACAAGCCTGAAGGAAAATTAGTTTGATCAGGTGTGTTTAATTAGGGTTAAAACTAAACGAAGCAGGGCTTCGGCCCTCCAGGAATTTAGTTTGACATCCCTGATCTAGATCCACTTATTAGGTAAACAAAGCAAGTCTCTCATATAATATGTATGCTGAAAGACAGAAAATAATACTTTACAAACTGTATTGTATTTGTAAATAAATCAAAGGAACACTTTTAAATTAATCAATAATATTACTGAAATTATTCAAAAACAAAATAAATATAAATGTACACACATTTACACAAATAAATATGACTCAATGGGCCAAATATCTGCAGAAATCTGCAGATTTCTGCGCGCACAGATTCTGTGTAGGCCTACTCATTACTTCAACTTGAATGGAGGAAGTTCACGGTACTCATAGATTAGTTTTTAACTCAAATGGTTTGTAGCAATCGGTTTCCTCACACGGTTTGGGTTGCTCTAACTTGTTGGGTTTTACAGTACTCAGTTGGTTTAAGTTCTCTTCATTTATTGGGTTTTACTGTGCTCAAATTGCTTCATTTACTCAAAGATTAAGTTCAAAGTACTCATTAGGATTAGTTTATGAATGTAAATGTTGCAATCGGTTTCCACAAATGGTTTGAGTTTTTGGGTTTTACAGTGTAGAAGAGCATTTGATGCTTCTAAACCTTTTTTCTAGAGGACAATAGTATAAAAAAAGGCTTCAGAGGAGGGGAATCATTTCCTATCACACCTATATTTGTTTCTTATTATTTGCTGTTTATGTAACTCAGCTAGATTCAAGAGGCAAACCACTAATCTTGGATCAAGTCTTGACTAAGTTTTGAAGGCGATTTGTGTTTCTAACAGAAAGTGAGGAGAACCAGCATGAAAAGGAAAAGCTTGATATACTCAATATAGCTAGTATAAAAAGTTCTCTATTTTCTCTACACAGTAATAGTTCAGTTTCCTAAGAACATAGTTGAAATCAGAATTATTAAAACCTTTTTTTTTTTTTTAAATCTTTTTTAAATATTTCCCAAATGATGCAAGGAAATGTTCACAGTATGTCTGATAATATTTTTTTCTTCTGGAGGAAGTCTTGTTTGTTTTATTTTGGCTAGAATAAAAGCAGTTTTTAAAGTTTTAAAAACATTTTAAGGTCAAAATTATTAGCCCCTTTAAGCTATTTATTTTTTTCCAATAGTCTTCAGAGCAAACCATCATCATAACAACTTTCCTAATTACCCTAACCTGCCTAGTAAACCTAATTAACTTAGTTAAGCCTTTAAATGTCACTTTAAGCTGTGTAGAAGTGTCATCATGGCTAAGATAAAAGAAATCAGTTATTGAAACCTTTTGGAAATGTGTTGAGAATCTCTGTTAAACAGAAATTGAGAAATAAATAAATAAACAGGAACCCGGCATTTTTATTACAGTGTAAAGAAACTTCTTGTGTAGATAATCAGCATCATGCGTATCTCTTTTGTGTCTTAAACTGAGATGCTCAAACTAAGTTGGCCCATAGTAACCTTTGATTTGGCCCACCATCCCATCTGAGAATAGAAGGGGAATGATGGGGATGGTTTTGAAACTGTCCATTCAAATTTATTGCAACCCTTTGTTTGTTTTATTGTTAAAAGCTAACTGAAATTAAATGTTTTAACAAAATGATGTAAATAAATCAGATTTTGTTGAAATGTACATCTCACACAACAATGCAGAGACTTGGGTGAGCAATTCTGGGTTTGAAACTCCACTGGGTTATAAATATGATTGTTTTTTTTTTTTATTGCAATAATTTTAGTTTTTAACTCTTCATATGAAAAGGTTTGGGATAACCCAAAAGTAAATGTAGGATTCTTTAAAAGTAATATAACCCATTTCTACTGCCACAAACTTGATTATGATTAACATTTTAATGATTTTTTTGCTTTGTTTTATTCCAGCAAAGAACGGAGCGTCTGTGAATAACTTCATCTCTGAGTGAGTTTCGTTGCTTTGTTTAAGCCTGGATGGAAGTCATATGATCTGTAGATCCTGGAACTGGTTTAGTGAAGCCCTCTGTGCTGTTTGCTGTGTGATTTTTAAGGGGTGTGGCGGAACTTTATCTGTAACTATTTTCTTACTTCAAACTTCCTTATACCCAACAAAGCCTGTGGGAGTGCAGCGAATCAGCTCCAGTTTCTAACACTGAGAAGAGATTTTAAAGTTGAAAAATAATTAAAAGATAAATTACAATTTATATACAATAAATTATAATGTTGTTTTATGTGTTTTTATAGTGCATTTGTAGTTTGACAAGTATGTGAAACTGATGTTCAGCAGGAAGACCAGAGAACATGTCTCAAGTTTGTTCCTGTAGTGTTACGGAATGTATACTAGATGGCGCAATTGCGTCACAATTATGCTCACTGTCGCAATTGAACTCTATCTAGACGCCTTTAAAATTGCTTCAAAATGTAATCGTTTTGGCTCAATTTAATCACCTTTAGGCTTGCTTCCTCTATCTATCTAGACATGCCTAAAGCTGCTTGAAAATGTAATTGATTTGCTTTTATAATAATTGATCTTACTAAATAGGTAATACTTATTAACCATTTAAATAAGATCAATCTTTTTTTTTTCTTTTGCCTTAAATAATCTCTGGACTTTAAATAAAATTAAACCTTTTAAAATTAAAATAAAAATGTTTTTTTCAATAACAAGTTCATGAAATACACATTTAAGATAGATTGATATATAAATTGATATATATAATATAGAAAATGATATATAAGAGAATAAATGACAGTAGTTCGTTGATGGGTTTGGGGGAAACATGCCATCATTAGAATTCTTTACTGTTACTTGCATGCATATATACAGTGCTCAGCATGAATGAGTACACCCCCTTTAAAAAAAAATATTTGTATCAATTTTCTGTGAATAGTCGATATGACCTATTGCTAAAAATGTCCACAAATCTTTTTTTTTTGCTTGATTTTATTTTTTGATGTTTATTAATTTTATTCAATAACAATATAACAGTTTAATAAACCCGTCTTGTTTAAATTCACCAAAATATATTTGCCATATTAACTGATAAATGAATAAAAATATAAATTCTCAAAAAGGGCTGTACTTATTTATGCTGAGCACTGTAAATGTGTATGCCTGCATGTAAATATGCAAGTCGTAAATTACTCAGGATTTCCAATCTTCTTATCAAGTATTTAAAAGTACTTGCATTTCAGATATATGGATTCAAGAACTGGAAAGTACTTAAAAACAAACATAGGTCCTTAAAAGTGCTTGAATTAAATTTAAAATTAAATTTGTTTATCGTTTTATTTAAGCATTTGTACTCAATTTTCAACAACAGAACGAAAAAAAACTGAAATTCTTCAATGAAAAATCTTACATTTAAATCTTGTACAGTAACACTGACATTTTATCAATATTTCAGAAATCACATTTAAATATTACTAGCATTAAATAAAAAAAAATCTTTAAACATGATTTCTTTTTAAATGGTCAAGCATTTAAAAAAATGTACCGATATTTTTAACATAAGTGTAAGTGAAATATTAAGTGCTTTCACAGCTCTACATATGCTGGGTTATGAATTACAAAGGGGCTTGTTTTAAAATTAACGGTGGTTTAAAATGTCAGTGAATCTGCTGTTAGTAAAAATGTGGGAAAAGTTTAAAAATCCACTTGGAAATTGCTTGAAAACTGCTTAAATTTCACTTTGGAAAATGTGTGTGCATATTAAAAAGCAATCATTGTTTTTGTGTTTGTCACAGATGTTGGGGATGTGACCCTCTCTCACATTATGGTCTCAGCCACTCATGTGATCATGACTGTCCATCCTGTCCTGGTCCTGCTGCCCATCCTGGGACTCTTTGTGCTTCCATGTGCTCCCACACATTCTCTGAACGGCCTCACCATTGTGGCTAATAAGACGGTGGCAAACCCAGCGGAGTGTGGGACTGAACTCTGTAAGTCTGCCTATTGTAGTCATTCCATTAAATCCCTGTAAATTCCTTAATAGATTTTTCTACCTTTTAGTTTTAATTCAAGCATTTGATGATAACATATTTGTATGGCAGGTTATTTGAAAAAGGTACTTTTAAAATGTGACAATTTTAAACTATAAATATATTTAATATATATATATATATATATATATATATATATATATATATATATATATATATATATATATATATATATATATATATATATATATATAATTTTTTTTATTTATTTATTAATTTTTTTTACTTAAGGTAGAGTTTGTGTAAATATGTGAATCACAGCAGGACACAAAAAGATGATTTTTCATGGCCTCAAATGTTATGCGCATGCACACACACATACACACACACACGTTTATTTATATATACATACATACTTGCATACATACATGCATACATGAACAAATAAAAAATAAGTTACTTACAAAATATCTTTAATACAAATTTTAGATTACAGGGTGTCCACGGGGTCTTAAATTGTCTTAAAATTCAAAAAGTAAATTATAAGCCTTAAAGTCTAATATTCACTGAAATGTTGTCTTGTATGTCTTAAATAATTGTAAACGGGTCTCAATTTTCCTATGTTTAGGTAAAGCTAAGCCAAGTGGGTCAACATGCATCCAATCACCAACAATTAACTTTTAACAGAACTCTATTTATAACTCCGTTTACCAATATGGTTAAATTGTCCTTAACAATAAAATTTGTTTAAAAGTTCTCTGTGTGTTTATAGTCCATATATGGTGAGGACTCTGACCTAAACAGTCTGTTGTGTATACATTTAGTTTATAAATAATTTTTTTTTTGTAAGATATGTTGAAGAATGTGTATGCATACAACTAGGGTTTGCTTGTTTTGACAGTTTATTTAAAATATGTGGGTAAGAAATAACTTAGTATATTATAATATAAAAAGTTCTGTATAAGTCTTTAAATTTAAATTATAATGGTCTTAAAAAGGTCTTAAATTTGGCTCTGAAAATTGCAGAAACCCTGTTATACACAACACAATGAATATGTGATAATAACATTACATGAACTTTTTGTCACAAATCCTCATTTGTGCAAAGCATCATGGTCCTTTAATCTTGGTATGCTATCTGACATCAACGGAATGCGTTAGAACAATTTTAGTATGTCATAGAATACAATGTCTAGAAGAATAATTTCTATTTCTGTACATGTGAACAACATTTTTGTCAACGTTTTGTCGCTCATGTCATTCCAAACCTGTATAACTGACACAAAAGAAAATATTTTTAAGAACAATGAGAACTAAACAGCATTGGACTGTAATTTCTTTCAAAATGTCTTGAAGACAGAAAGGGATGCGTGATAGAGAAAATGATGACAGATTTTTCATTTTTGAGTGAACATTCGCTGTAAATTTGGAAAACTATACAAGTGTATGATTTAAAAAGTCTGCGTCCACATGTTAAGTGTGACATCATGCAAAGCAGCTTCCAGGTCCAAGCATTCTTATCAAACAATGTCGGAAGACTCAACAAATTGTAATAATAATCATGACTAATATCTGATGGCCAGAAAGAGATTAGTTTTTTTTTATATATATATATATATATATATATATATATATATATATATATATATATATATATATATATATAAATTGTTTAAATATTGGTGTCTGTGATGCAGCAAGTCCAGAGACTGTTGTGTCCACCATAATTTTAAATAAAATTCACTTTTGATGTGTAATCTGAATAGGGGAGCAATAATTATTGATTTTGGTTGTATGGTTATAGTCTGAGGAATAATCACGGTTATCACGATTATTATGCATTCATTAATTTCAACTACTAACTTTCACTAATTTCAACTCTACTTGTTTAGAAAATCGCATGAAAACTCCTTATATTTTGTTGCGTTATTTATTGATGCTCCGTAATCAAACCAATTGATACTGCACAAAATAATACAAAAAAATTATTCTATTTCTCTTTTTTGACTTAAAAATAAGTGAAAAGGTTTTTAGCATTTAAACATAAGTAATGATTTTACAGTGAAAATAAATGACGGAAGAAGTATTTAAATAAAATAAGAATGAATGAATAAAAATTTTATTTGTCTGATGCAAGTCAAAGCTACATATTAGCAACAATAAGCAAATGCAGAAATGTACAGTTGACATAACTTAGTTGCAGCGGGGGGGTTTTCGTACAGTAAAGTGACATTGAGAAGCCTTTACGATTAATTAAGCATGACAAATTAAAGGACGGTAATAGTGAAAACAGTTAATCATTGCATCCCTGTGTACAATGTTGTATACATTGCGTCATATGTCAAATATGTGAATAACTGGAAATAAGGAACTTGTCAGCGCAAAAGACGCGATATGTGACCGGCTCTTACGTGCGATGTGAAAGAGGTATCAGATGATAGCCTCAGCCATAGTTAATCTAGTGTGTGTGCGTATTAGCTTCTATGTACAAGCTCGGAACTTTAAACTAGGGTACAGTTGGCATAACTTTGTTGCAGCAGTTTTGTTCTGTGCAGAAAGGCAGCGTTGAGAAACCTTTACATTTAATTAACTGTTACTAATTAAAGCATGGTTATTAGAGAAACCGGTTAATTGTTGCATACCTAGATCGGACTAATAAGTGGTCATAAATTAATATTTTCTCAATTAAAATTCAGGCTTAGTCCTGGAAACAATATTTCATACGTCACGACCTTACAAGCGGAAAAGGCAAGTGACAGTCCCATCAGCTGGCCAAAGCTCTAATATAGGACATCTTTATAGTTGGTTGGTTCGTGATTTGATTTATTTTTTCACTCTTTTCTAGAATTAATCCAGCCCTTTTTATATTTTCAGTTTTTTGAAGTGCTTAAGAATGAAATGCAATCTGCGTGCAAAGTTAAGAGATAATACAGAGTACCTGTGGAATATCATTTTTTTTTTTTTTTAAAGTAAAGCCATATGTTTTGTTTTGCCTGTTTATACATCATGTTTTCCTCTTGAAGGACGTGCGCTTTCAAAGAGGGCCATGTGTTTCACATTTAAGATGAAAGGGAGGCCTGGGCTGGCTGTTCTGCTTATGCGCCAGGCGCTGCTTCAGCGGGTCCTTCCCTTCTTCCAGTCCTCATCAAGACATGCTCTTTTTTTAATTAAATCACTTTCTTTTTTCCCCCTCCTTTCACTTCGGCCACACACGTTGCACTTGACTATCTTGCCACCTCTGTAAACAAGCAGACAGCCCAAATGACCCCGGGGTGGTGGGGTTCTGGCTTTGTGTTTGGGGGTAGAACTTCTGGCCCTGCCCCCCCATCCCATAACACACACATACATACAAACGTCGGTATTGAGTTTCCATCATGTTAACCGTATAGAGATCGAACGCAAGGTCAGAATCGCCACCGCCATCTGGAAGTCTGCAATGTTTGGAATGATGGCGAGCTATAAATACATAAGCATTCCACATTCCAGCGGAGGGAACGGTGTGTTTTTTCGACACGTCAAAGACCAATCAGACCTGTGGCGACTGCAAAAATCAAGCCAGGTCCTCTATGGTTTCATACCGGAATCCATTTGCTTTTGGATTTGTTGGTTATTCTGCTTTTTACAGCTGGAGAAGTGTTTAAAGGAGGGGAAAAATGCAACCAATGCAGCTGGCCTCTCGATTTAGTGTGTCAACACTGACCAAGTGATGATTCAAGCTCCACTTTTTTACCTCACCGAATTATTGATTCACCTGGAGCTTTTAAACACTCGCTGATTGTCCATTGGCTCACTCCAGGAAAGGAAATGGGGGCATTTTGGAGCTTTTCTGCAGTGCCAGCGCAAGCACATTCTTTCTAGCCCCGTTGGTCCCGCCGCCTGCTTAAGTAATCAGGGGAAGTGGGAATAAGGAAAAGAGTGGAGACGGATGTTGAGGTTGAGGTGTGCTGTACCTAACGCACACATGGCTGCTGGGATGGGATCAAAGAAAGGTGCGGCGAGGCCTGTTTTTCCTCCCAGACGTCGCTCGTTCTCCAAGACTGCAGAGCTCAGGATATGCAGTTTGACATCCAGTAATGAGCATTAAGGGAGCGTCTTTGTCCCAATGAAAACAACCTGAGGTTGATGAGTCACAGATCACACTGCTCATTTTATTTCACATTTTAGAGCCGGCTGTAAAATATATTTCGCCGTGACACTCTAAAAAGAGCATTTAGAAACTTTCTTTGGGTTATTTGTCCTATTATATTTGGATTATAGCTGTTTTTAATTAAGCTTGGAAATTTTTGGTATTGATATTTGGGGAACGTCTAATATTGGTGAAACACAAGGTTACGTTTACTAATCTCGTTTATTTCCAAATGTTTATTTGTACGGGATTTGTTTAAAGGGACAGGATGCTCAAATAAACTTTAATTCAATATACTCACCTGCGGGCCATTTTGTTTTTCTTCAGGAACACAAATACTTTTTTAAAAGCTGAAACTGTTCATGCGATAGTTCCTTCTTCATTTATTCCAAACCTATGGCGTGAAATAAGATATTTTGAAGAATTCTGGATGGATTTGTACCCATTGACTGGCCTAGTAGTTTTCTTTCATTCTACTGAAGTCAGTGGCTACCATCAATCAGCATTTTTCAAAATATCTTCGTATTAATCCACAGCCTCTGCAAGCATCTTACTTGGTACAATTCAAATAATCATCGTGATTGTTTTTGTTTTTTGTTTTTCAGGTCCTCAGAACAAATCCTGCACCAATGCCTTTCTCTATAAAGAAAAAATGTGTTTTCTGATTAGCTGTCCAAATCAAACCCAGAACTCGTCTTGTGGAAATTACACTAATTTCATCGACCTGTTAGTGGAACAAGATGCAAACTCAACAGGTAATACTTTTATCCTACCGTATGATCTCAGTGCTGTTCTTCTTTAAGATTTCTTTATTTTACCCCCTCATGCAGTGCAGCATCACAACTCCAGTGCAATATCTCATTTTTTAGCATGTTTTATTAGAGTTTTTATGTCTTATATTCAAATATGTTATTTAATTATTTATTATCTAATGCATTGGACTAGTTTTGTTCAGTTTTTATATCTTATTTTCTAATATAGTACAAGGGGATATGTTATTTATGCATATCTATTATTGGTTTATTGATTATTATTGGCTGCGTTCACTGATTAAAACCAACTCTAGAGCAATTGCGATTGACAAGATATGACCGTAAAACTACAATGCGGATGTTTATTTGTTTTTTTCTTGTCTTAGTCGCAGTCTTTTTCATAACACTTCAATATAGTTACCATTAAATTTTAATTTCTGTGTGTCACGGTGTAAATTTTGGCTCTATTTTGGCTCTACTCCACCAATAAATATCCTTCACATGCACAGTGATCTTCATTTGACCAAAACACAGCATTTAAAGTGTTTCCTCGGATATAGAGTTAAAAATTAAAGCTGGCTTTCATATGCGAGTCTTTTTCAAACCAAGACAGTACACTGGTATGAGCCAACAGGAGGCAATGATGACGCTTTTATGCTGGGCTCACACCAAACGGGCAGTCCAGTATTTACAATAATAAATTAAATGGTGAATTGCGTACTAATCAATGCAAACAGGAGAACAAAGGCGGATTACCATCCCGCAGGCAAACAACAAAATATGTGACTCATTTGCTGTGAATGTGTGGAATTCCACAACTCAATGCAATATCTACATTTTTTTTAGCATATTTTATCATCGTTTCAAAATCTTAGATTATTTTTATTTAATTATGTATCTCTTGTAGTCTTAGAAGTTACGCATCTTAAGCAGAAATGCTGCAAGTTCCATCGTATCCTGTGTACAATGCCAACAAAGCTGTCTATCCTGTTCTAAGATTGTATTGGATCAGTTTTATCAGCTTATTTTCTAATATTATTAGTAACTCGCATTGAACGATTCATTTAAGGGGACACGGTTAAGGACGCCATTCATACCAAACAGGAAACAAAGTATTTACATGAGTAAATTGCATACTAATCAATGCAAACGTGAGAAAAAAGGCAGTTTACCATCCCGCAGGCGAACGTCAAAATATATGCGATGCGTTTGCTGTGAATGTGTGGTATTCCACAACTCGATGCGATATCTCAATTTAGCATATTTTAATCATTGTTCCAATATCTTACATTATAACTAATTGTATTTAATTGTATATTTTTGTTAAATTATGTTTCTCTTGTATACTTAGAGGTTATGTATCTTAAGCAGAAATGCTGCAAGTTCCATTGTATCCTGTGTACAATGGCAGCAAAACTTTCTGTTCTTTTATATGATTGCGTTGGATTAGTTTTGTTCAGTTTTATTTATTTTCTAATATTATTTTCTAATATTTTAAGTAACTTGCACAGATTAATTCAAGGAGGCCTGGTTAGGACCCCATTCACACCAAACAGGGAATCGAGTATTTACATGAGTAAATTGCATACTAATCAATGCAAACATGACAACAATGGCAGATTACCGTCCCACAGGCGAACGACAAAAAATACGTGATGCATTTTACCTAATTTCCATCTTCCGCGTTTGGTGTGATCCCCAGTTGGTTTCCAATATTTTGGAAATCTTCACCCTGGTCTGAGTTTACAGAAAGGTTTGGTTTGTCACGTGATAATGTATTTTCTTGTGAACAAACAGCGGAAGCGCACAGAACAAAGTGTGGTTTTGAAATTACCTGTGTTCTTTTGGACAGCACATAAACTATTTGTGAATGCAGTATTATCAGCCAGATGTCACCATCCGCTAACCCAAACTTTGTTTTTGCAGACTCTGTCCATGTGAACAAAACTCAGACTGACGAATCAGAACTTCCCCTTCAGTCTTCTCCCAACCAAAACTCTTCCCAACCCACTTCAAACAATTCTTCATCCAATACCACTCAAACATCAACACCTCAAACTAATGTCTCAAACTCAACAATAACCCCAACAGCGACTGTTTTTCAAAACAATATAACCACAGCGCCAACCCCCACAACACCGAAGCCTGCCACTACTGTCGCAGTGCCAAATATAACCATTCCAACACCAGCCATAACGTCCACAAAACCAACCACGACCACCTCTCCAACAACAACCAGCACAACGACAGTTGCACAAACCGCAAGACAGCCTTCGCCAACAGGGACAAATTCATCCACCAACATCTCACCATCAGTGCCTACAACACCTCCATCCATTCCTTTAACCAAACCACTCCAAACTTCTCCCACTCCAACAGCCGTTGAGAAGCCACCACCAAAAACCTCAATGAACCTGCCAGTAGTGGTTCCCACACTGCCTAAAGACGTTCCCAAAGGGGGCAAAGCTATAGTGGAGGTGGCCGGAGACCCTTTGACCAGCCACCTATTAAACACAAGCTCCCTATTGGCCGTTCTACTTTTCGGCCTACTGTTTTTTGTGGTCGCTGTGGCTCTTTTCCTCAAACAAGCGTACGAGAGCTACAGGAGGAAGGACTACACTCAGGTTGACTATCTCATCAATGGAATGTACGCCGATTCGGGGGTTTGATTTCATTGTTTACGTTTGGTAGCAGATCGACTTTGGTAGCACGCATTTCGGGTTGAACAAGATGGTTTGGCGCGTATGTTTCATTTCTATGCAGACTTGGCTTCCACGTAATTTTTGGCACCACGGGGCTGAAGCCTTAGTATTACCTTAGCCCTCATCCTTCGTTCGACGAATGTCATTAAATAAGGGATTCATCGTGCAATATTTGGAAATGTCCGGTCTGGTGTGTCACGTCCAGTGTTTCATCCGCAGCGGGCGAGTTGGCTGCAATAATTGCCTTTTTTATGTGTGTCGGAACGGTTCAGGAACGTTCAGAGAGTCGTTTATGAATTATTGCCTCTTTTCGTATTTGTACGCGTGAGTGAGGAACAAATGCCAAACCAGGAATCGTGGAACAGAAGCACATTATCGTAAAGCCAAGGGAATAACTCAGCCATTGCGTATTTGGTGTCAGGAACAAAAGATAAGTAAGGTATGAAGTGTGATCGTTTGATATGTGCCAAATTGATTTTGTAAGTCTTAATAGCTGCACTGTTAAAAAAAGAAAAAGAGATATATAATAAAGAACTTACTTTGCACTCGGTCTTGTTTTATTGTGTGTGAAGTGTCTGCCTCTGCTAGATGTTTACTTAACCGTGATCCATGATTTGGCCGTCGTGGAGTCTGTGCAACCACGAAAATGCGAGCTTTCATCATTGTGGCGCTTCTGTGTATTTTCAAGGGCTCTGGGGAGTAAAGGAAAACTAAAATGAAAGCTCTACAAGTCAAATTACAATTGTACAACTTTGTGTGCAGAAAATAGCAATTATACTTGTGGATTTGTTTTCAAATTCCACTATTAGTTAATTGTACATATTTCACCCCAATGTTTTTATCTTATTTTTTTTTTTTTTAGTAAAATCTTGGCTATTTTTTATAATAGTGAAGTGTGTTGTTGGTTAATGTGACACAGCAGCACATGGTTTTGTTCAATATTACAATGACATTCAATAAATTTGTGTTTGGATGCATAATAAACATTTACGTTTCATATGATTTTGCCCTTTATAGTTACACTCACTGGCCACTTTATTAGGTACACCTTACTGGTGCTGGGTTGGACCCCCTTTTGCCTTCAGATTTGCCCTCATTCAACAAGATACTGCAAAGATTTCCCAAAAAGTTTGGTCCTTATTGACGTGATAGCATCACCCAATTGCTGCAGATTTATCGGCTGCACATCCATGATGTGAATCTCTTGTTCCACAAAATCCCAAAGGTGCTCTATTGGATTGAGCTCTGGTGATTGTGGAGGCCAATTGAGTACAGTGAACTCATTGTCATGTTCAAGATACCATTCTGAGATGATTCGCGCATTGACATGGTGCGTTATCCTGCTGGAAGTAGCCATCAGAACATTGATACACTGTGATCATGAACGGATAGACATGAACAGCAACAATACCAGGTAGGCTGTGGCGTTGACTTGATGCTCAATTGGTACCAATGGGCCCAAAGTGTGCCAAGAAAATATCCCCCACACCATTACACCATAACCAGCAGCCTGAACCGCTGATACAAGACAGGAGGGATCCATGCTCTCATGTTGTTGACGCTAAATTCTGACCCTTACATCTGTATGTCGCAGCAGAAATTGAGACTCATCAGACCAGGCAACGTGTTTCCAATCTTCTATTGTCCCCGAGTCAAGCTAATGTACGAACCACCAATCAGACGATTCCTAACTCGGTATAAAGTCTTCTGCTGCTGCAGGCCATCCACCTCAAGGTTCAAGTGTTGTGCGTTTAGAGATGCTCAGTTACTGTTGCCTTTTTTATCAACTTGAACCAGTCTGGCCATTCTCCTTCTGGCATCAACAAGGCATTTCTTCCAAAGATCTGACCTTCACTGGGTTTTTTTTTTCGGACCATTCTCTGTAAACCCTAGAGATGATTGAGTAAAAATCCCTGTAGATAATCAGATTCTGAAAAACTCAGTTGCTGCCATGTGATTGGATGAGTAGTAAGACAGGTGTACCTAATAAAGTGGCCAGTAAGTGTATATTTCAACCATTGTGTTCTTGGCCTGTAATTGTTCTCTTAAAATAATAAAAATGCTTTTAAGTTGTAGGAGACTTTTTTTTTTCTTCAGTTGAACCAAGATACATTGCAAAAACTCTTTTTAATGATTCATAATATCAGATATTATGGTTTTGAAACAAAATTGTAGACTATAGGCAACACAAAAGTAATATTGTTTGCCAACACTGTGGATCAATCATGTTGTAAATAATGCTCCATTTCTTGCAGAAACAAATGCGCACATTTTAGATTGTTTGAGGGTGAGTAATTTAACAGCAAATTTTAATGAACTATTTTTCTTCTGGTGGACTAAATGTTTGAAAAACATCTCCCAAATCAGTACAGAAAACATGGATTTTTTTATCCTTATATAGTCTTGTTCATGACCAAGCAGAAAAGGATGCATAAGATCAAGGGGTCCACCGGCTCGTGTTTGGAGCCCCAGGTTTCCCATAGTTTCAAAGTGTTTTATGAGTAAAATCAGCCTTTGGAGTAAACAAGATGCCACACATAAACAAGCCACATCTGTCGGCCGATAATTGCACCTTGGAAGCGTGCAATGCACAATGTCTAATTTTAAAGGTCTGGAAGTTTATTGGGATGGAGGGAAATAACGAGTTGAAAGGAAGGTAGGCCGACACCTTTACAGCAAGCTCTACAGGGGACCATTTTGTTTTGGCGGGAAAACAACAGTTTCAGAAATAAATGTGGATTTTATTAGAGGCATGGGACGGGTTCTGGTGTTATCTTCTCCAAGCATTGTGAAACTACTTTCTGACCTGATCTAGCCTTCAAAACCATCTTTTCACAAGCTATGATTACCACATCTCTTGTTGAGTGCTGCATTTCTGTCGATCCCATAAGGAATAGTCTGTCTCAGGCCTCAAAATTTCCCAATCTCACTTTTATTTGGCATTCATACATTGTGAATTTCGAGCCAAAAGAAAAACAATGTAGACCAATTTCCAATAAGAAAACGTTCACCTCGGTTTCCAAACCAAACACTGGGCCTTTCATTTGTTTTGATGGTTTGGTATTGATTCTCATCTATTAGCCGTTCATTTGCAGCAACTTTCAGCAGAACATTCCCATTTTCCCCTGGTTGTGTAACTGAGTGGCAGATTTCTGCAGGGCTTCGGGCCGACTGAAACCCTGACTATCAATTTCCAGTGAAAAGTAGGTAGCAAGAAACAGGGTTAGCGCAAAGCACATTGACATGATGCCTCTATAAACCCTTTGTTTTAAGAGGAATTGTTCCAGATGGCATCTGTTACGCGCAAAATATGTCTTGCGTTAAGTCTTGGACCCGGTATTATAAACTCGACACTGTCTGTCCGTTTTAGCTCTTATTTTTTGATAGCTCACATATCGCCTACAAGAAGTTGCTTTTTTGGGCAAGATGCCACTCCCGGGTCAAAAGATAATTACGTCATCAACCACGACATCAGTAATTATTAACAGGCAGGCTGTAGACATTGCCAGTGATGCTGTGGGGAAATAATAACTGAGAAGAATTGGGCTGACAAAAGTATAAATAAAAAGAGTGGGGAGGTGGCATGGTGGCTCAGTGGTTAGCACTGTCGCCTCACAGCAAGAAGGTTGCTGGTTCGAGTCCCAGCTGGGCCCGTTGGCATTTCTGTGTGGAGTTTGTTCATCCAGGTCCCCACTGTCCAAAGACCTGTGCTACAGGTAAATTGGGAAAGCTAAATTGTCTGTAGTGTGTGTGAATATGGGTGTTTCCCCATTGATGGGTTGCAGCACGAAGGGCATCCACTGCATAAAACATATGCAGGATAAGTTGGCAGTTCATTCCGCTGTAGCGCCCCCTGATTAATAAAGAGGCTAAGCCGGAAAAAAATGAATGAATTTGGCCATAATGTATTATTGTGAATGTGAGTGTATGAGTGTTTTCCAGTACTGGGTTGCGGCTGGAACAGCATCCGCTGCGTAAAACATGCCGCAATAGTTGGCGGTTCATTCTGCTGTGGTGACCCCTGATAAATAAAGGGACTAAGCCGAAAAGAAAATGAATGAATTTGGCCATAGTGTATGACTGAATGTGAGAGTGTAAGGGTGTTTCCCAGTACTGGGTTGCGGCTGGAATGGCATCCGCTGCGTAAAACATTTGCAGGAATAGTTGACGGTTCATTCCGCTGTGGCGACCCCTGATTAATAAAGGGACTAACCCGTAAAGAAAATTATGGAATTTGGGCATAGTGTATGACTGTGAATGTGAGAGTGTATGGGTGTTTCCCAATACTGGGTTGCAGTTGGAACAGCATCCGCTGCATAAAACATATGCCAGAATAATTAGTGGTTCATTCCGCTGTGGCGACCCCTGATAAATTAGAGACTGAAGGAAAATGAAAGAAGAGTGGGGCTTGAGTACAGCATCCATATTTAAATTTCAACCCAGTGGTATTATAACATCATCACCGGCCCACAGGACCGAAAAAAACCCAGAGCTCGCTCGCCTTTTGTCCATCAGGCAGTGGAGAAAGTGATTTTTTTTATTTGCGCGCGGCGCTCGGCAGATCAAAGGGAACGCCGAGAGCCATATTACACAGGTGACTGTAAAGGCAGGTTTCATTACAGCATTTTTCTCTAGGCCCGGGAATTACTGCCTGCTTTACTCACACGCACGACGTGCACATGTGCTTTCACTTTGGATTTGGAGTTGGTTGCAGAACTTTACCATTCAACCCATCGAGCGCTTTCAGTCCGCCAGGGGTTGAGTTTGATCCTTGATGTTTACAGCTCAAGAAAGAGGCTGAAATGAATTTGCATCATTGTGTTTTGGTCTTTTGTGGGCTTTCATATGAGTATGAAGAAACAGAACAGGCTAGCAACTAACAAGAGGGCCAAGCCAACAAATTGATCTGTCATTCACTCACAAAAGCAGGTTTTAAACATCTAAAAACTTAACTTTCTGAAATAAAAATATGATTATTAGACTATACTTATTATTAGACTCGACGAATATGATTATTAGACTATACCACTTTCAGCTCGAAACGAAAAAATAAAATTGGTGCAGTTTGGCCATTAATGATTTTGTGGACTGAAAACCCAAACTTCTGAAATCAGGAAAACATTGTAAAAATGACCCCCCTGCCCACAAATCAGCAATTTTTGCAAAGAAACATTATCCAGGGCTTAGTATAGGATTTGTGCATCAAGTTCTGTAATGTGCCATTAATTAGTTGGTTTTCAAACTATTCTATGCTCACGAATCCACAAAAAAATCCCCTACAATTTGCAACAAACTATTTGCATAAGCTTTTGCACTTACTGGCCACTTTGTTAGGTACACCTTTCTAGTACCGGGTTGAACCCCCTTTTGCTTTCAACTGCCTTAATCCTTCATGCATAGATTCAACAAGGCACTGGAAATATTCCTCCGAGATTTTGGTTCATATTGATATGATAGCATCACGCAGTTGCTGCATATCTGTCAGCTGTACATTCATGGTGTGAATCTCCTATTCCACCACAACCCAAAGGTGCTCTATTGGATTCAGATC